AGACCACAAGTGCTATGTTTTCAATTAAGCCCATTCCTAAAAACTAATAGTCAATTAATCACCCAATTTATGATGTAATTAATCACATGAAACACAACACGATATCATAAAACAATCAACCTTATCATGCAATAGGCTAAATATTGATGTCAATTAATCAAAAAACGAAAGACTAAGGGCTTGCATACCTCAACTGAAAGGTTAGGGACTAACAATAACTAGAAAGACAAATCGAAGAATTGAATTGAATGAAAATAAGGCAACTGACTTGGCGTGTGGGAGAGTGTGCGGCATTGGAATGGAGCCAGATCAGCAGCGATGGCTTCTTCCTGGCCCTCCGATGAAGATGGTTTGACACGTGGCCACTGATATCTCCGAGAAGAGGCGGTGCTGTCAGCATTCTTCTCTCTGTTTTGGTTGCTAGGGTGCTTTGTACGTGTCTTTGTGTGTGTGAGAGAGAGGTAGGATCATCATCTTTAATAATGTGATCTCCTAGCCTTGCAAGAAAGTTTGGTGAAACATCTCTTATAAGTGATCTGATTAAAAAAAACATCATGGGTGATTTAATTTTTTAAAAATAAAAATTATAAAGAAAAACAAGATTGGAGAAACAAACCGCTCATAGGTGATTAGATCAGAAAAAAATTGAATATACAAATTGTTTTGGACGATTTGATTTTAAAAAATAAGATTGAAACATAAATCACTCATGGTAATCTGATTAGAAAAATAAAAGAAATAAAATATGTAAATCACTTTTGAATTATTCAATTTTAGAAATCTTGAACAAGATTGGAGAAACGAATCTTTTATGGACGATTTGATCGAAAAGCAAAAAAAATCAGATAATCAAATGTTTTTTACGTGATTCAATTTTAGAAAAAGAAAAAATAAAGATGATAGAAATAAGCTACTTGTGGGTTATTAGATTAGAAAACAAAAGAAATCAAACAAACCACCTTCATCAAAAAGGTTTAATGTAATCTTGAATATGATTGAAATTTAAAACGGGATGCTTCTACTAGAGATCTTTTTTTTTTTTTTCCCTAAAATGAATATTATTAATGTAACGTCATCTGAATTCTTTCCCGAGTATTTTTTTTAAGTATTTTATTTTAAATCTTTATCTCCAGAATAAGATTGTTTTATTTATATTTTTCAATCTAGGTTATTATATACCATGTAAGCTCCAACTCGATAGTTTTTATATTCATTTGTCTCGACGTACTAATAAAACTCTAATTAAACCAAAAATTGTATCGCAAATAATTAAAAAAAAAAAGTATTGAACTTTCTCATTTTCCTTGATTGGATCATGGTAGTTTGAATAGCACTCTTAGATACAAATGTTGCGCAAGCTTTGCACAAATACCATATAATGAATTCTATTAAGTTGCCACACCTTGCATTTTTTGTCATCATTTACTCACTGTATGTCCCTATAAATTGGATAAATATTTTTTTCTATTGCTTTTAAGGAGGGAACAATTCAGGCTTCGATAAGAGCCAATGACATTGCTCAGTTCTCGTTGAAAATAGAAGAAGATGGATTTTATGATGTCAAGAATTTCTACATATTTGAAGGTAAATTCATAAAAACTGTTGTTGAAAACAAGGCTATGATCGATTTGAAACAAGATTTCATCATTCAGCCTGTTCGCACCAACATTATTGCTATCCTAAGATATGTTTTCTTCCTCATTGAGTTTTACAACTTTTTGACCAAAGGACGTAGATCTAAAACCCTTAAAGGATGTCAGAATAATAATAATAATTAAAACTCACACATTTTGTAATTTAATAAATAAACAGCTTAATTTGGCGCTAATTCTCCCTTATTTTTCTATTTGATAACGAAAAAGATGTCCTCGACTAGATTAAAGCTATGCAGCCTCTTCAAACAATCACTATTTGTAGTTCACAGCTTGAGTACAAGAGAGACATCTTCATCGAAAACGTCAAGCCCAAAAAACAATACCAATCAACAAAAATTCTCCAATTCAGTATTGGTGCCTGGTAATGGAGCTTTAAGAAACCTCATTGCTTTTAGTTACATGAATTAAGCTTCAAAGAAGAATTCTTTTACTGACTAACCTCAAGCGTTAAATGACTGAAATGGATAATAGCACCGCAGACTTAAGCTTTTTTTTTTTTCGAAAGATCTAATTATCTACTACGAGCAAAACTTTTACTAATGGTAAAAATTTTGGCATTCTCTCACCCAGATCTTAACTTTTGTTAACAATGTAGACTCAGTAGATTCTTCCACTCTTTTTTTTTTAAAAAAAACCAAAACTCTAAAGCAAACGTGATATAAAAAAGGCAACTTTCTTGCAAAAAATAGAGCTTAACAATGAGTAATTTTATAATACATCGGGAGTAACTAATAACATGTATAGTAGTTATTCCATGGATCCACTTTGAAGAGAGAGATAGACACAAGAAGAGAGAGAGAAAATAAAAAAATTTGAGGAGACGTCAAAATCTTCTTATCACTTTTGATGGGTATAGATGTAATTTTACTATTTTTTATGTGTTTATCTCTCTCTCGAAGTGGGCTCATGAAAGTAACTATTGTATATGTCACTAGTTATTCCTAATGTATTATAAAATTTTTCCGTAACAATAAAATACTCATGAATTTTAAGTTATCTTAAGAAAACTATGAGAAAGAAGAAGAAGTCAAACAATAAATTAAAAAAAGAACCCCAAAGATCCAGGTATTCATAAATATAAAAAGACTCATAAAATTTTTCCCTTACAGCCCTCTATCAACTGTCCATATTAACTTTGCCTAAATCAGCTTTGTACTGCAAGAAGATAACTTTTTTTTCCTTTAATATAAAAAACAACAAAAAGTTGTCTATATTGAGGCGTGTAGGTTTCTCACTAAAACAAGAACCCTAATTTGTTTATATTGGTTTTTATTTGATTTTTTTTAATAAAAAACATTTTTAATTTTTTGCTACTTTTGAGAATTTTTGCCATCTTATGAACAAGTAAGTTGTCTCATTCTTCAACAGTCATTAATATATTAAAGTACCAACAGATTTCAGAGTCTGCGCGCAACCTCTGCCCCGAGCAATCGTCGGACCACAACATTATTGCGATTGATGTCTTTAACGATGATTGTTGTTGCAAACCAAGATAACTAGCTTCTCCAACGCACCTAAATGCCTTTTTTAACTTGTCGCAGTCTACGACCAGTAGAAAACTGTCATCAATAGACAGTTATATATACTACATATCAATGTGCTCTTTTATATAAGCCTTTCATCTTTTGTTGTGCAGACACGTATAAAAAAGCAAAAATACATACCTTTGCAAAAACTTTCTTCTCCTAAATAAATTTAGGATAACACATCAAAATGATCATTCAGATAATTTTCTTCTTTATATTATTGAATTAGATACTTCGATGCTCTTAACAAAAACTTACTACAATATTACTCTTCACTACAAACAGTGTTATATCACCTATCGGACAACGCAGTAACTAACTCGTATATCTAAATAAAAACACCAATATGTGTTTCTAGTTAAGTTTAGATAATAAAACAAAAAATACAAAAATCCTATATGTTTAAATAAAAAATCACTAACTTTAATCACTTTAATGCATAATTATCTTTAATCCATCTTTGACACCAACCGCGAACTAAGGCATGATAATGGTAGGGGCATGATATTGAAGAGACAAGGCAGGCTCCCACCAATCTAACATATACAAACCTAATGTGACATTGTAGAGGAAAATCTTTCGTTGAACCAATTAATTCCTTCAAACCTTTGGAATTTGTATTGAATTTTATATAAGGTGATGAGTTTGAGTGACAAAATGCAAGCAAATACTGTCACGGGGCCTAACCATGTAGGCCAATTGTAGCCCACGTTCAAGAGGAAAAATCTTCTTAGAAAGCCTAATTATTTTAATTCATAGAAGTAGACAGAGAGATGTGCAAATATCTATATTTTTTCAATGCCAAAGATATTGTCAGCTTAGCATTTGCAATTATGTAAGATTCACTCGTAACACAATTGTTGATGATATCTTCAAATTGATTTAATAATAAAAGGCAGCAACATGATTAGAAAATAATTCAAACATTTGTTTATTTATTTCCTAATTTTTTAATTGAAACGGTTTCTATTGAATATCGAGAAATCGTGTATAATATGAAAAATAATTAGATTTATTATAATTTATTGCACATAATAATTCTATTATACATAAATATTCGATAAACAATATGATAAAAAAAGCACATTTGCTATTAAAACTGAATACAGTTAGACTTAATTAAATTTTACGATATTTAATCTCTCACTAGTAGACTTCTGGTCAAATAGTAATGAGCTTTTTCCACATATAAAAAATTATAAGGTTAAAATCATCATTTTAAAATATTTTAATTTTAAAAAAAAATCTCACTATGAAAGTAGGTTAGAATAACTCTTCATCTTTGTAATGGTAAGTTCTGTTGTCGTAATACGATTTTCTTTTCTATTTTATTAATTACCAACTTTAACTTTTTAACACGTAAAAACTAATGTCAATCTCGTTAAAAACAAGGGTGTTGGAGGAGTAGAAAATAAAAGAAATTGACTTAATAGTTAAAAGAGGTAATCGAGTAAAATTTTAAAAAATCCTATTGTGAGTAAGAGATAACTTAGTCCTTGGTTAAATGCATAAAATCAAAAACAAAAACTTTCATCGCACCGACTCTCAAAAGCCCAATGTTTTGATGGATTCTAGCCGACACAGGCCCCATCTACTCTCAATGCTCAGAAAACTGAGGCCCTGTCTACCCTAAACTCGCTTAATTCCTGGGCGCGGCAGCGACCCTCACCCGGGAACTATATATTGTCTCAGAAACTCTTCACTTCGTTTTTGAGCTTAACTGCCCCTGTCTCTCTCCCTCCACTGAACACCACCGTTAACTGACAAAGCCACCACAACCCTCCGCCCAGAGCACTGCGAAGTAATTAAGTAGCCAATTATGGACCTGGACGACCTAGACGAACCAAGCAAGGTACGAAAGCCACTCAGCAGATTCGCGCCCACTTCAAAGAAACCCCAACCAAAATCAAAACCTAAACCTAAGCCTGAACCTCAGGAATCAGTACAGGCGGCACCGAAATCCGAGCCTCCAGTTTCGAACGTAACCGATGATGTTAAACAAGACGTTAAGCCTAAAATTGATGATACGGTTTCGACGACGGAAATGGGGTTTTCTAATGGTGACGTGAAGATGGAAATTGATGCTAAAGAAGAGAGAGGAGCGGCGGTAAGAGAAAATGATCCAATGGATGTTGATAAAGAAGAAGAAGAGGAGGAGGATGTGGTTGTTCGAGAAATTGATGTTTACTTCACTCCGTCTGTCGACCCCAACACTCAGGTGAACTTTTTTCTCTTCTTCTTCTTCTTCTTTTATTTCATTTCGATGCGTATTGGGCCTTGTACTACTCCATAGGAGCGGAGTTTTTTTAAAAGTAATTTTATGAACTTAATTTTTTGGGGAATGTTGTTTCAGTTGTATGTAATGCAATATCCACTCAGGCCGTGTTGGAGACCGTATGAATTGGATGAAAGATGTGAAGAGGTGAATGTCTTTTGTTCTTTTGGTTTGTCAGTGACTCTTTCTTCTTGTTTTGTGGAGGGGAAAAGGGAGATATTGAATGATGAATTTTTTTTTTTTAAAGGTTAGAGTGAAACCTGAAAGTGCCGAAGTGGAGGTTGATTTGTCTATTGATGATACTAAGAACTACGACCATGATGTTGCTAGCAGATTGAACATGAAAAAGCAGGTTTGCCTCTGTATTTGCCGTTTTTTTTTTTAAACAATCCGGGAAGATTCTGGGCAGATCATAAGCTCTTGCTGTATTGCCAAAATTTCACCAAGGTTGGTTCCTTGGTTTTGTTTTCTTGATGGGAAACCGGGTGCCTCGAAGTCATGGACTAGGAACTCTATTGATTTTGTAGTGAGTTGTGTTTCAGGTGTTTGTTATTCAGGACATGATCAGATGTCATCTCTAGTATAGTTCATAGCTTTTGCAGCTTACTGAAATATTTGTTTTGTTGGTTGTTTTAGTGTTGGTGATGGCTGGTTTTTATTTATGTTTCTGTCTTTTATTATTATTAGTATTATTATTTTTGCCTGAGTCACATTTGTTATGGTGTTTGGTGGCCTCGTAACCTTTTCTATTCCTTGTAACTTTTTGTTTACTTGTTTGATAATCTAATGCAGTATCATGTTTTGTGGTTTTCTTTAGACTTTGTCTTCCTCATGGTCGCCTCCTCCTGCTACTGGCTATGCTGTTGGGGTTCTGATGGGTAATAAGGTATGTCCTGCCCTCCTGCTATTTGCTTTAACATGCTCTATTTATATTTATCGATGTGGTGAAATGGCCCCTCCTGCCATGTGCTTTAACATACTATGTTTATATTTATCAATGTGGTTGAAATGACTTAGTAGTAAATGCTTTTTCTGTAAACTCGGGGAGGGATGGCTTTGTCAAAAATTATTTTTCTTCATCATACCCATCTCATGACGGTTTATGATGGGAAAGAAAAAGGATAGAAGTTCTGCTTCTCATGAAACTCAATACAAGCTGTATTTGTTCTTGAGACATAAGAGTAATTGCTAATGTATCTATCTTTGAATGTGAGATCTATGATTGGTTGGTGGACACAGTATTCATAGATTTATGATTGATCTCTCTTTTTTATTTGAAGTGATCAGTTTTTCTTTTATCTATCTTGAGCAACTATAGTAAGTTTCTCTCTAGGCATTCGTAATGTGCTAGAAATCATTTTTTATGTTGTTTTTTTAATATTATTCTGCACTTTCTTTGTTCTATTTAATGATAGTTTTAAACCATCACCTATGGTGGTAACCATGAAATTTCACATTTGTTTCCCCATTTACATTTGTTGTGTTTTTAATTTGCTAGTAAATCCTCCGTTATACTGCACCAGAATGAGTGCATGGTGTGTGCATGTGTAACCGAGTGATCATTGTACCATCAGTATTCTGCTGCGTAATGTTGTTTGTTTTCCAACTATCTTTAATAGATCCACATGTTCTAAGAGGTTTTGGCTTCTTTTTCCAACTTGCAGTTACACCTGAATCCTATTCATGCAGTGGTGCAGCTTCGGCCATCAATGGACTATCTAAATTCTGGTGGCTCAAAAGGGAAAAACAAAGCCACAAGTGGTGGAGATTCCAATGAGGGGAAACCTTTGGGTCCACCAAAGAAGCAGGTTCTCTCTCTCTTATATTCTGATACTCTTATGGAATAAAAGTAATCAAGCGGAGGATGTCTTGGTTTGTCGTGGGGGCTCTGGGCTGGTCTACTGTTGCCTTGGAATGTTGACATGGATATGGTCCTTGCTTTTAGCATTTTCTGCTTGCAGCTAAATTCTTCATGTGCATCATTTGTGCTTGAGTTCTTGCTTTCTAGCATTTAAGGTGACACAAAAGCGACCAGTACATAAATGAATGCTTGTGGATAGAAAACACACACACACAGACACAGACACACACACACACACGTGATGTTTTTGTGCTTATATGGTATGTATGCCTAGATAAAACAGGCAACCAGGATTTCGTTGAAATTATTGAGAGCTTTTTCTTGTTTATTATTATTGTTGTTGTTGCTGTTACTACTACTACTACTACTATTTATGCACATAACCTATCAGTTCCTGAGCTCTAAGTCTTATTTATTTTTGGTGTAGAGCAAGCAGATGGGTTCAGGAAATGAGCAAAAACCAGATGTTGAGGAGGTACACAAATTCATCGTACAATTTCATCACTGAAACTTTACATACATTTATCTAGTTGTAACTACATAGTTTGGATTTAAGTAAAAAAATTGAAGACAGTGTGCTTCTTTTTTCATTTCTGTTACTGTAAGGTAAGCTTCATTTCTCCTTTCCATTACTGCAATACTTCTCCCAGGCGTTTTCTTTGGGTTACATAGTTTTCCTTCCAAGTTTCCAATTTTCTTTTGCTCTGTGCAAGTTTTTGTCTTTGTAAGATAATTTTTTTTTCCCTTTCATTTTCCTCTTCTCTTCTTGTTTATCTCAAAAATTGGAATAATGTTTTGGCATGTGGGAATAAAAAAATTACTGATTAACGAAACTATATATTTAGATGAGTTGAAAAGTTTTGGAATTTTCCTAGGTAGGTTGGTGTTAGGTAGAGACTTTTAGGCATTGGATAAAGAAAGAGGATCTGTTGGACACACAAGTGCTTTGCGTCATTGTGTATGTTGCCTCCCACTTCAATCAAGTTTGAGGTTTCATGGTTTATTATAGTTTAATCTTTTAGTTAATTTTATGCTGAAAAATAAAATTACTAGCAAGCACTGCTTTGTATTTCTCTTATTTGGATATTTTCTTGCAGTCTTGGATTCCTCTGAAGTACCATGGCTCTAAAAGTGATTTATCTTCCAGATATCTACAGAAAATGGTGGCACAAGAAAGTTCATCCATTGAGTTTGCAATGAGCCCGTACGGTTTATTTATGACTTATCTTATTCATAACTCTAGACCTCTGGCAACTTCTCCAAAAACTTTCATTTCCTATAAGATTATTATTATTATTATTATTATTATTTTGAAGCCCTGAATATGCTTACAAGTTGATATGATTTTATATGAAGGTATGACTACTTGAGCTCCTTGTGTCCTGCGATATCAAACAACAATGTTAAACCTAATGGTCCTTCCAGAAGGTGCAGTCACCCCTCGAATTCTGAATTTCTTCTATCATCAATATCTGAGGTCAATGCAGTATACTGCACCGAGAAAGTTTATTCATTTGTTTGTAATTTAGTACATGTATAATTTTGTTATTATTTAAATAGCTATCTAGGATTTAGTTTATAATTATAAATATTTTACTGGGATTTTTATTTCTTAGTTTAGGTTACTCGGGAATTTTTCTTCTCTGCCTTGTCTTTCTCTCTTCCTTCCAATCCCTCTCCCATAGGGGATTGTGCTTCTTCTATCTTTGTTATTACCCTGTCTTGCATCAAAGGTGTTATGCATGCACTAACATATGTACGAGCATATATTAGAACATGTCTAAAACATCCATAGTTGTATCATGCATGCATACAATGCAAGAAGTGCATCTCAGAAGCCTTGCGGAGCACCTTTATTGATTTGGTCATGCTGTCTTAGAATGAAGTTAGTATAATTATATTTCAAGTAGCATTTTTGTTTCATCGAGTTGACAAAACCATCATTTAGAATAGAACTCTTGCCAGTCATTTGACATTTTTAGAGTTTTTGATTTTCCTTTTTTATGCAAGTTAACAATTACATGAGTTGCATTTAAAACATAAGTGTTGCACTTTTTTGTCATCTTTGAAACTTTTTATGCTTCTTTTATTGTGAATATGCCTATTTTAATAGTGGATATTTTGAACCTTACAATGATTGGATTGAGAAATCAGGGAGAGAGGCAGCAATAACATGTAAAACAGAATCTTGACATAACAATACATGAAAAGGTAAAGAAAGCAAGTGCACATTGCATGTTTTGGTCGTTTGGTGAGTGGTTGTGTAAGTTATCTGCTGCACCAAGACAAATAATGGGAGACATGGACACAAGATCTAACTTGTATTCTGCTTATGGAGTTCAACCTTTGCCGTTCACTGTCGTGTCTTATTTTTCATTACCTTATAATGCATTAATATTCCCAGTAACCTGTTTGATGGTGATGGAAATTAGGGGGCATGTATGTGTTTTTCTTTTCCATAATAGTGGGAGATATTCATTAACTACTAGTCTTGTTTTTGTGCTTTTTGGATATTTGCTGTTAAAGTGTAAATGGATGTTGTTACAGGGTTTTGCTTTCACTGCCTCTGGAAGAACGGATTAAGAAGTTGTTTTTGGAGGTTTGTTCTGATCTGCTTTCCATTATATGATATAGTGATGCTTTGGAAGTTGGTGCCAACCAATGTATGTGGTGGAATTTTGTGCATACTGATGGGTCATTGTATTGTGAAAGGTTGGGCAGTTTTTGGTCGGCTGTTTGGAAACATTATTGTGTCTGATTTGAAGTATGGTGGTGTTTACTGATTTACATTTTTCTTATTTTTTTCTTATTTTTCTTTTCCCGAGATAAGACTTATGGACTACTCACCACATGCATATTTAAATGCATTCATGCCTGTAGTGTCCTATAGAACATTTACTTGAAGCCAAGTTTGAGTACATATTTCATGCAGAGCCAAATCCAGGATTGCATTTTCCTTTCTGGATTAGAAGGATTCATGGTTTCCACTTTGTGGAATTTTTTTTCTTTTGTTTTATTTGTTTTTTTTGGTTGAAGATTGTTGATGGGGTAAGGGTTTTTACATTTCTGTCACTCAATTGGGATGTGGTTATAATTGTTGTGCTACAATAATATACAGTATGTTTCCCTTTCTGGTCTTGGTACAGTATTCATACAGTTTTCTCGGGTAAAAACTTCCACTTGTCCTAGACCTATAAAAAATTGACCCCTTCTATCCCAGTTGAACTTGTGCCATCAGAATATGAGCATAAAATTTGCTTTTCTCTGAAGCTCCTGTCCGGATCATGAAGTTTTTCTCTATTACATCTGCATTTCTTTAATGCTATGAAATCAAGTCAATTTTGTGTTCTCTCTCAACTATACCTCTACTCCCTGTTCCTTTATGCTTTTTCAGCTTTTGGAAGAAAATCTTGAAATGATGAATTGTGATTATCAAATGCTTGTTTTCACTTTGGAAAGCAGTTGTTTGCTCGCTTTAGATAATTCTTGATTGTTATTCTTAATAGGGACCTCCAATTCATCGGTTTGCTGCTCTTAAGCATCTTTCTGGTGATGACTCCATTGAAGATCTCTTAACAGTTCTTCAGGAGTACGGACAATTAGTGCAAGGCCTATGGGTGCCAAAAACGAGTTTACTGTTTCCAAACCCAAAGCCAAATGAAAAGGGTACACTTGCAGCTAGAGATTATGTACTTCTTTTATTTAGAAAGAGTTTGGTGATCACCAATTCACAACTTAATGTCCCAATGAAGCCTCTCCTTCTGAAAAGCTTCCTGAATATATTTGCTGTTGAAAGACCTTCCTTTAAGGATTGGAAGTTCAAAGAAAATATGGACACGTCATTTGTAGAACTGTACCCAGACATTTTTAGAAAGCAAGATCAAGCTTGGGAAGTCATGGAGAAAAATATATCCGTTGCTTTCGATCGAGCTGGAAAAAGTGTGCCTAAGATTGCGATAACGAAGCCTAAGAAAACCATGACAGATGAAACTCGAGAAGCTCTGCGGAAGGCTTTGCCAAAAGTTCTCCAAACACATAAGGTTTGCAGGTATGGGTTTCAATTTTTTTTTTCCTGGCTATTGAACAACTTTCTTGTGTGCATGCATGCATGTTCTTGTACTCGTATTCCAACAAATATGCTGTTGAAACAGTATTTCCAATAATCGATATCTTTTGAAGCCTCTGCATCAGTTTTAATGGCCTGCATGGGTTGAATCGGTACTTTGATACGTGGTTAATTTTAGATTTATCAATGTCCTTTTCTAGTAATTGCATCATTATGCATGTCCATGTACCCTGCTTGCTTGTTTTGGTTTTACTTAGTGGTTGCAGTATGTTGGCGATGGTTAATTGGTTTATATTCTGGAGAAAGAATTTTTTTTAGTGGTTTTAGAAGTTAACACTAGCCAGGGGCTTGCTTGCAACATTTTGTGGGTCGCTATAAATCTCTTGATGAATGACTTTAAATGAGTGGTCTGCACATGATGTGAATGTAGAAGTGATCAATAAATTGGGTTTTAACCCTGCCGTACCAGCCTGAGCATCAGCACAAGCTTTTTTATTTTATTTGAACACTATATTAGTTCATTTGAACTCAATGTTGTTACAGATCAACAAAAGTTTCTCTCAAAAGTTCTTTGTCACTCGCTTAAGTATAATGGTATGTTACTTATCTGGCAGTTTTCAAATGATTTGCCAAGGTTTGCGAGACTTGGCCATCTCTCAGTCTACTCTTCCAAAGGCAGATCCTAGAATTGCAGTAGCTGCAGCCTCTGGTGCCGATGCTCCTCCAGAGGAATTACAAGAAGTCATAAGTGAAGTCGCAACTAATATTCATGGCTTTTATGTTTTGAAGTCTTCACCAGAGCACCCAGATTTTGATCCATTGAGGTTATTTATATATTTTGTTTTTTTTGGTTAATCCACTGTTCTTATGGAGCTCATGCATAAATGCAATGCATTAAGATTAAGCATAATGATTCTCTACTTCTCATAATTGTTTCTCCCCCGCAGGAAGGTTGTAATTGGTCTTTTACTGGCAAGAGGACCAAATGCAAACATTAAGAAGTCAGAAGTCCAAGCAGCAGCCAGACACGAGCTTAAGAGGGAGCCTTCAAACAACGAATATATTAAGGTCAGTGATGCAAGACAACCTTAATAGATTGGATAATGCCACCTAAATCTCATTTTGTGGAGACCAACAGTTTACATATTGTTGTTCGAGATTCTAAAGGGTTAAAGATTAGTTTTTGTTTTAATTTTAAATGGATGAAAAGGGCTCAACTTTGATGGAAGTTGCCAGAACTTTTTAAAAATATTTCCAGAATTTCTTGATAGCAACTATGGGGTGTTAGTTTTGGTTGTAGATATAAAGAGATTAGATGGGTCTAGGCCATCTGGTGGCACAAGAGAAGACCAACTTAGGGGATGTCATTTGATAGAAGAAGCTAAATCATATTGTGTTTTTGGCAATTTGCAAGTATTATAAGTTAAGCTGCTTGTCTTCTCCTGTTTCCGTGGGTTGCTACCTGCTTCATGGTGCAATAGACGTGAATAGCTTGCAATCTTTGAGGCAATTCACAGCGTTTGTTATGTTCTCCCAGTTATTATTATCATCATCGAGTTTTGATTGTTTTAGTGCATATGAGATTTAGCCTGTGTAAGTGAAAGGCAATATAATAGTCCCTGTGAGGAGTATTGAATAGCAGACTGCTTAGTGACTAAAATTACAGAACAGTGAATTGTTAGAGGTTGTTATGTTGATTTCAGCTGTGTGTGGACTGAAAATTTAACCACTTTAAAACCTTTTAAAAAAATTAAATTAGCCTATCCTCTTGCTAACTTATTATACCTTTATCTTTCCTTTGTATATCTGTTTATTATTTTGTTAATCTAAACCAATTTGGCATTAAGTTTTTGTTGGCTTAACTTGTAATCATTCCCCAAACCATACTCAGAAATTAGTATCAAATAGGCTCATTCTGAAATAATGTTGTTGAAGGTTGACCTGCATTGTGCCTCGTGAGGCTTGTAGATTACAACACAAGGATGAAATTAGCAACTTCATCTAAGAAGTTGCAACCATCTATTCAGTTGCACTTTTCGTAGTTTTGAGTGATTACTTGCCTCGATTAAAGTATGCTTCCTTTTCCAGGTCATGACTGATTTATGCGAATCCAAAGGTTCTGCATGGGTATTGAAGAGTGGTGATGGAAAACCATCATGATTGGTTGAAGGTACAAAAGAAAAAAAGCCAATCACCTAATGATGTTTGAATTTTATTATTCATATCTGAGGGAGGATCTGATGCCGTGCTGTTATAGTATTCTTAAAAGATATTTTTGTCAAAGCATGACAACATTTCTCTCTCGAAGTTCTTCTCATAACAAGTGCTGCATGGGAATACTGATACTGCTTCACTCCTTGGATTGGGTTGGAACTCCATGAATGAGAACACTTGGATGCACTTGAAAAAGAAGAATAATCCAGAGTTCTTTGATGAATTCAGTGAAAACGTTACTTGTTTTACATTATATGAAGAATTAAGCACGAGATAAAGAAAATGGAGCAATTATAGTGCATGCAAAGATTGAATAGTGCCCCCTTTGCTTTTTGTTTTTTCTTCAATGTTTTTCCTAATCAGTTGCTTTGCATGGTGCAATTTTGCAGGGGTCTTACGATTTTGCATGTGCCCTTTTGTTTCATTTGCCGTTGTGGATGCTCATGTCATGCTATGGCCCATTGGCGATTAAGCTTTCTCTAAATTCTGACTGCGTTGAAGAGCAATTTAAACAATGGTGGCATGGAGACGATTATTCCAAGAACGTTCTTAGAGGTTGATCAATGATCGGAACTGAGAATTTCAACATGGCGATCTGATGCTAACTTACCACTGCCGCTCTGTACATAATCAGGTGTTAATGAAATCAAGTTCGACTGGATTTCAACTCATTGGTTTTTGTTTATTTTCATTATAGTTTCTTCCTATGATAATAACTAATGAAATATAGTACATACAAGATTTGAAAATTAGAGAGAAAAAAATGCATGTTGGCAAGGAGGTGAGGATTAGAAATTTCTGAATCACGGGTACTGAGCTTATCTCCAGCGGTGAACCACTGTGCATGGTATGAATGTTCAAGATTGGAATGGACACGTAACATTATTCGTGTTATAACCCAAAATTTTGGGTTAAATTTTTATTTTATTTTATTATTATTAATTAAAAAAAATGATAATAAAATAAAATAAAAATTTAACCCAAAATTTTGGGTTATAACAATTCTGTGTCAATCAAGCAATGGGGGAATGAAAAGAAATTTGTTGAAGGAACAAAATGGAAAGTTAATCAGCTCATTAAAGATGCGGAAATGATGGTTCGATCCGTAGTCTTTCTTTTGATTGCAGAAATTGAAGCTCTTTGAACTTTTTATTTTTATTTTATGAGAGTAATTTTGATGCCCATAAATCATGAAATTTGGTGTGCACACTCAGTAACATTTGACGTCAGCACATTGGAGACGAGCTCCAAGATCGAAGGCTGAAGTGAGTGAAGGCCATACGTTTTCCTAAAAGAAAGGGGTTGACACCCTTGCCTATTCTTATATGATAAGTTATACAAGTCAAATTTCTAATTTGTTCTTAAATTAAAAAAAATGATTTTTAATTTTTTTTTTTGGTTAATTTTTGGCCAATTGATGTGAAATTAATGTTCATATTTGAAGATATTAGGTCATTTATGTTAAAAAATAAAGATAATTTTGTCAAATCATATATTATGTGTAAATTGCATGTGTAACTAGGTTGGAAATTTTTACTAAAACGATATATTAAAATTCAACTCAAATAATATGAGCAGATTGGAGATGTTTTTAGATTTAGAGATAGATTGAAAATTTGACTTATTATAATAAAGATAAGAGTATTAATCTTAAAAAAAGAAGAAGAGATTATGGCATCAATTACTTGTCATAGTGAGATTAAAATTTGATTTGAATTTAATTCTTGTCAAATCATGCCATATACAATTTTGAAGCATTATCTGAATCACCATGAAAACCTTAAAGAGTAAATCATTCTTTAGTTTTTGAGTTCTTAATTGAAAACCTAAAGCTTAATCTAAAACCTAATAACTTAGTTCTTCATATTTGAAAACCTATAGCTTAATTAAAAACCTATGTACATCTTGAGTCTAAGTTTTGCTATAAAATTATGGGTTAAAGGTGTAGATGTTACTCTATTGTTTTATTTTTTTTATTGTGTTTATTTTTTTTCAATAATCGTCTCTTTATCCTTAATTTACGTTTTAATTTTGATCTTTCGTCTATTTTTTCGAGCAATAATATCAATTTTCAATTTAGGACGCACATGATGCTAACGTGTGATGTTAATTTTTTTTCTCTCAATTTTAAATGCCAGTAAACAAAATAATGACATGAAAAAAAACCAAATTGTCCCTATATTGAAAATCCGGTATAAACCTCCATGTCCCTTTTATTAAAAACCCCAAAATTCCCAAATCACACAAAAATCTCTAATTTGTTTTCTCTCTTTAAATTTTTGGTGATTGATCGAAGAAACAGACCTAAAATCTTCAAATTGTTCAAGAATCCCCAAATTTCTTTCTTCTTAAATTTCTGTCTCCTTCTCCCTTCAATTATCAAATGAAAATCAAGTTGTGCAATTTGGGGTTTGTTTCGAATTTCCCCAAATTGTTTTCTCTTAATTTCTCTTCCATTCTTTTTGAGCCTTTTCCATTGCTTCATATTGGTCATTAAGTTGTGCTTGATGTTCAAGTGCCTTTCATGTCTCTCTCATTGCACATACACATTATCTTTAAGCTCATTACTGCGTGCAAGTTGTCCATTTTCTAAGCTGCCTGAAATTGGGTGCTCTAGTGAAACTTTTTCTTCATCGTCCTCAATTCTTCTTGTCTCAGGCTCCAAGCAATTTGGAAAATCTTTAGAAGTGGTAGCAACTCCATTTTTTGGAGAATCAACCTTGACTGGATTGGCTCCAAATTCTTCAGTTGTGGATCTGGCAACATAACTATTGCATAAATAAGTTGATTGAACTGGATAAAAAGAACTCAAAATGAGTAGTTATCGGCATATTTATGCGAAAACTTGAAAAAGGAAAAAAAAATCTAGGAGACTTCTAGTTGAAGGGAAATTAAGTTAGAAGTAAGATTAATAGAAATGAACTACAACAAAATTTTTAAAAGAATTCGAAAAGTTAAAAGTTAAAAATAAAGAGAAATTCGCCATGCGTCCTTATATTATTTTGTATTGTTTATTTAAATTTTTTTTATTTAGACATGCAAAACAAATTATATATTACTCAAAGTTGAGACATATCTGTGTTTTTATCTAATTCTATTAATCACATGTCATCATATAATTGATTCGACGTTGGATAAAAGAATTAATTTATCTCAATTTTAGAATAGCACATAGTTTGTTTTGCATTATTCTTGAATAGAAAAATAAAATAAACAATGTTAGATAGTACAATTACACCAAATGAATTTCACGTGCTAAAAATATCAATTTTTGATAACATCAAAATTTTAATCCAATTTTATAACACATTTTGATGTAAATTAGAAATTATTTCTAACTAAACATATTCCTTTCTTTAAATAGCAAATTAAAAAAAAAATTTAAATCAATTTTCAAAGTTCAAACCTAACATGAGAAAGTTCAAATATTTTTTTCTTTAACAAAGCCTTGGGGTTAACCGAAAAAAATAAGAACTAAAATTCCATTGCTAGTGATTTTACCAGAATACCCCAACGGAGCCAACTTTACTGCCTTGCAGATTACGATCACCACAGGCACGAACCCACCTTTCTTTAGCCACTCACTTGGCTTACTATATAATCAGAATCAAAACCCCAATTTCAAGCCCTAGAGTTCTCAATACCCTTCCATCCTTCAATTCTTAATTTCAGTTTCGCAGCTAAATCTACCCAATCATTATAAATCACAACCTAAAACTGAATCAAAATTTAAAAACACCATGACTGATTACGAATCAGAAAGATACGAAGGTAACGGCGGTGCCGATTTCGAAATCCACGGCTACGGTGCCGGCGGTGCTGATTCCTCTCCTCCTCCACGCGGCGGCGCTGATGATCACAGCGATTCCAAGCCTCAGGTATAAACAGATGTAAATCAATTTGTTTAGACAGAAAAGCTGTCAAGATTGCGATTTTCCTTTTGTATTTTTCTGTATTTTACTCAGGGTTCCTGTTTATCTCTAATTGAGAAATGAGGTATATGATCTTAGCGGTTTAGTTTTAATTATTAACAGAAAGCTTGTAGTTGATGCATTTGCTGATTTAGGGTTTTAATTGGACCAAACACAGAGCCATGGAAATAGCATGAATTAGTTTCTGCTGTGGCCCTTTTTAGTCATGCTCTAAGATTATTTTGTCGAATTAACAGTGAGTATCTTTGCCCTATGCTAGTTGTGGATTTGGTGTTTGTATATGCTGATTACATTGGTGGATGCTTCTTTTGTTATGTTCTAGTTTTTGTTAATTCGGTTGATATCTGATGCTATGTTAAGTCTTTATTTAGGCATCTGAAGCTTTGTGCAGTGATTGGATTTGGATATGTTAAGTCTTTCTTAGTCTTTGGAATTTTACTAATGCAATCCATGAATTTCAGCATGGGTCTCGTGACTACGAGAGGGAGTCTTCAAAAAGTAGGGAAAAAGAGAGAAGCAGGGATAGGGATAGGGACAGGGATAGAGATAGAGATAGAGATAGGGAAAGAGATCGAGATAAGGATAGGGAGAAAAGCAGGGACAGGGATAGAGATAAGGAAAGGGACCGAGACAGGGATCGTGACCGTCATCGCGATCGCCATAGAGATCGCAGTGAAAGGAGGGATCGGGGCCGAGATAGGGATGATGATGATTACCACCGAAGCCGAGACTATGACAGGTACTGATCATTTTTTGAATGCTGAGTTTTAAGTATTGTCTTATGTCTTATTCCATTCTGTATATTGGTAAGTGCTGTTGTTTAATTGGTTCAATTGACAGGCGGAGAGATTATGATAGAGACAGAGAAGATAGGCATAGACGTTCTCGTTCCAAGGGTAGATCCGAGCACAGATCAAGGTCACGTTCACGCTCACGCTCTAAGAGGTATGTGAGGGTACACAAAATGTCAGTCTATACTTGAATTTTATTCAAATTTGTTCATCCATTTACTAATTTATGCATGCCTTTTTGGCATACAATATTTATCTACTTACAGCAAAAGGATCAGTGGTTTTGATATGGCTCCTCCTGCTTCTGCAATGTTGCCTAATGCAGCCGCTGCCGTTGCTGCTGCTGCAGGTATATGTACCCTCTTATACTACTTTAAGTGCCATATTCTCTTAACTGCTATCTTTGTTTTTGTTTGATATAGTGTGGAAAGTCCGTATCAATTACATGATATCATTTTGGTAAGCAGTATTTTGTTATCTTACTTTGTAAATCTAGCTTCTTAAAGCTGTGGTCTCTGAATGTGTTGTACTCTGTTATTATTATTGCTTACTTGGTGAAATAATTCTGGAACTGAGAGAGTTTTTGGTTTTTCTTGTGTTTGGTGTTTGTTTGTTTTGTTTTGTGTCTTGTCTTTTGTTGTAAGAAGGCAATGTTGGGCTACTTGTCCCACTGTGCTGACAATGGGCGTGAGCCGACTTCTGTAGCTTTTATGTACAAGAAGGAAACAATGCGCCGGTTTGATGATTCTCTTTCGTCTTCAACTGGCAACTATTGCCTGTTTTGGTAGTCTTGCAAATACATCCTTCAGAACTTGAATATGATGTATACTTTCATCTCTTTTGATATTTATTGCTAAAGGTTAGGACTTAGTGGTTCTATTAGAGAATGACGCAGGACTTGATTTTGGTACCTCAACTACATTAGAGTAAGGGTTGATGTATGATTGTGTACTAATTGCAGTTTAATTACCTTTGCAGGTCAGATTACTGGGACAACTCCTCCCATTCCTGGAATGTTTCCCAACATGTTTCCATTAGGGACTGGTCAGGTATGTATCAATCTCATGTGCAATTTCTAGTTGTTTCCATCCTCGCATTTGCATTGATTTCATTTCATTTGTTCATTTGCAGCAGTTTGGTGCTCTCCCTGTTATGCCAGTTCAGGCAATGACTCAACAGGTTGGCAGGATTGGAAAGATGCAGTTTTTTCATATTTTTGCTGTCATTATTTTTTTGGATGAGTTATATGATTTATTTTGTGATTTCAGGCTACGAGACATGCTCGGCGGGTCTATGTTGGAGGGCTTCCACCTACAGCCAATGAACAGGTTTTGTGCTGCTTCCATTTTCTTTCTCATCTTTATAAAACCTTGTCTGAGTACTAATCCTGTATGCTGTTCTGCAGTCTGTAGCTACTTTTTTTAGCCAGGTTATGGCTGCAATTGGAGGGAACACTGCAGGCCCAGGCATGTCATTTTCATTTTAGTTTTGTTTTGCACATGCACATAACTAGACTATCAGCATCTTTTTCATAGTCGCTAAATATATCTCTGGTTTGTTTTGCTCAGGGGATGCTGTTGTTAATGTTTATATAAATCATGAAAAGAAGTTTGCATTTGTGGAGATGAGATCTGTTGAGGAGGCCAGTAATGCAATGGCTTTGGATGGGATTATTTTTGAGGTAATTTTGTTTTGCTAAATCCCTTTAGTTTTGTTGCGGTCTGCGTGATATATACTGTTACATGGTACTGACCTGTTTGAGCTATTTCTTTACAAAACCCTTTTTATTTTTTTTTTCCAGGGAGCACCTGTTAAGGTGAGGAGACCGAGTGACTATAACCCATCTCTGGCCGCAACGCTTGGTCCAAGCCAGCCTAATCCCAATCTTAATCTGGCTGCAGTTGGTCTTACTCCTGGTTCTGCTGGTGGACTTGAGGGTCCAGACCGCATTTTTGTGGGTGGACTCCCCTATTACTTCACAGAAGCACAGATCAGGGAGTTGTTGGAGTCTTTTGGACCCCTTCGTGGTTTTGATCTCGTAAAAGACAGAGAAACTGGGAATTCAAAAGGCTATGCATTTTGTGTGTACCAAGATCTTTCAGTTACGGACATAGCTTGTGCAGCTTTGAATGGAATTAAAATGGGTGATAAAACTCTCACTGTTAGACGTGCCAACCAGGGGACCAACCAACCTAAACCTGAGCAAGAGAATGTACTATTGCATGCCCAGCAGCAGATTGCATTGCAGGTAAATTTTGTGTAAAGATCTATTCTATACCGTTATAGGCTAATTTACTTGAATCCATGGTCTTTATTTTGTTATTTATCTTGTTTGTTGTCCACATGCTGATTGTTTTGTGCAGGTTAGTCTTACTGAAACTTTCTTTCATTTTTTTTGCAGAGGCTTATGTTACAGCCACCACCTGTGACCACAAAAGTTGTATGCCTAACTCAAGTAGTTACTGCAGATGAGCTCAGAGATGATGATGAGTATGAAGACATTTTGGAAGACATGAGAATGGAAGGCGGCAAATTTGGTAAAATCTTTCAACTGGCTATTTGTTTTCTTTCTAGCTCTTTCTCCTGTGTATCTTCCTACATAGTAATTGATTTTTCTTTATTTTCTGTGTGTTATATGTCTGTTTTACAGCCTTTTCTAGTCCCACATTCTGCTATAAAGAATCAGGCCTAACATACACAGACAGAAGACTTCATAACCCCCAATTTATATTTACTTGAGATTGGTTTCAAAAATAAAAAAATTTTTGTTTTGAAAATTTTGGATTGCATATTTTCACACTTTATCTGCAGGTCAACTGGTGAATGTTGTGATCCCACGCCCTAGACCGGACGGTCAAAATGCGCCAGGAGTTGGGAAGGTCAGTTTGTGTTAACAGTCCTCCTTCATCTGCCTCCATGTTTTTGGAAACTTGTCATTTTTTGAGGCCGTAGTTGCCGATCACAACCTTGGGTTATTTTGCAGGTGTTCTTGGAGTATGCAGACACCGAAGGTTCTTCAAAAGCCCGAGCGGGGATGAACGGGAGGAAATTTGGTGGAAATCAAGTTGTGGCTGTCTTTTTTCCCGAGAACAAGTTCTCCGAGGGAGAATATGATGATTAATTAGTTCTAGAGCCTTCCATCCACCACTTGGGATTTGCATCATTACGATTAGAATATTGGTTATGTTTTTAATTATAGCTTAGAGAAGTCTCCTACTTTTTGGCTTTTGGGTGTTCGATTGCATGCCTTGTTGAAGTCCTATGAGCAGATGTCAGTTGAAAATCGAACTAGTTCTAATGAATTGCTATGTTATTCGACTGCTTCCATCCAGCAAGTTTTTATATTTGTTTTTTCCTCCCATATGAAGGCCAGTGATGACGATGACATTGATGACTGGTATGAGATTTACTGTAAGAATGAATTAATGTTATGGTTAAGGGATTTGATGATGGAATGGGAACCTCTGGTATCTGGCGTGACCTGGAAAGATCTATTTTTTTGTTCCCCCTACAATTTCCATCAATGGCAGATAAATTCTTTTATTTTGAATTTTTAGCACCTAAAGTATCATTGAAATTTAAGAAAATTTTCTCTTGCACCGTTCCTTATCATCCATTAATTGTTATGACGTGACTTGAGATTTCACGTCAGAGAAACTCGTTTTTTTTCCCTTTCCTTCCCAACTTTTAAGCTTGTTTGTTTAGTGGAAAGTAACTTCCAAAAAAAAAAAAATATTTGGGAAAAAAACAATTCTTGAGTAGTTATTTTTTAAAATAATATTTTTTAACTGTTATTGAGGGAAATTTTACAAGATATATTTATAATTTTATAATATACGATGAATTTAATTTTTATAAATATTGACTTAAGATGAATTAAATTTTTATAAATGTTAACTCTAAGATTTAAATTGAAAAAATTAAAAAAAAATATATATATTTTTATCTCTCAAACCAATTCATCAAAACTATTTGAAATATTAAAAAATAACTTTACAAATTATTAGTTATTATTTGTACATAATTATTCATTTGGTTTTAAAAAATTAATGTTAACATAATTTGTAGCTAATTATTGACTACAATTGTCAATAAAATTTTTAATTAATGCTGATTACGATTAATTTAATATTTTTTATTTTATAAATTATTTTATTATATTTTCATTTATTTTTTATTTCTTAAAACAAAGAATCAAAATAAATTAAAAATTAACAAAAAAACATAATTAATTAATTTTTAAAATTAAATAGATTAATTAATTTTTCTCTCTCCAAATTAGCAGGATGTACGAATTCTTTGTTTTGTTTTTCGAAAAAAGAAATGTAAATTCCGTAAAACCATTTCTCCATTTAGTCCCTCACTTCAACCTCCCTAAGCCCTAAAAACTATCTTATAGGTACGCTACTAGCACACCCTCCCGCCTTCCTTCCTCGTTTCCTATCCTTCTACTTCCACAATGGCCTCTACTCTCCGCCACGTCCGCCACCTCTGCACTACCACCGCCACAACCAAGAAAATCTCCGTCTCCCAAGCCAAATCAAAAATCAGCACAGAACACGACCCAGACAAAGCACTAGCCATCTACTCCTCCGCTTCCGGTAATGTCTCCTCCCCAGCCTCTCGCTATGCTCAAGGCCTCATCGTCCGCCGTCTCGCCAAGTCTCACCGTTTCGCCGACATCGAATCCTTCATCGAATCCCACAAATCCGACCCCAAAATTAAACAAGAACTCTTCCTATCCTCATTAATCAGATCTTACGGTGTTGCTGGCATGTTTGATCAGGCACTCAAAACTTATCGACAAATGGACCAATTGGGTACCCCTCGATCTTCTATTTCTTTCAATGCTTTACTATCTGCTTGCATTGAATCCAAACTTTATAATAAAGTTCCGGTGCTGTTTAATGAAATTAGTGAGGAATATAGGGTTTTGCCGGATAAGGTTTCGTATGGGATATTAATTAAGTCTTATTGTGAAGATGGGAAACCGGAGAAGGCTATTGAAGTATTGGGGGAAATGGAAAAGAATAAAGTGGAAGTTACGACAATTGTTTGTACAACAGTTTTGAATTGTTTGTATTCAAAGGGAAGGAATAAGGAGGCTGAGAAGATTTGGGATGAAATGGTGAAAAGAGGGTGCGAGTTGGATGCTGTGGCTTATAATGTGAAGATTGGCAATGCTGTGAATCAGGGGCCAGAGAGAGTGAAGGAGTTGATTGAGGAGATGGGGAATTTTGGGTTGAAACCAGATACTATTAGTTATAACTATTTGATGACCAGTTATTTCATGAGTGGGATGATGGAGGAGGCGGAGAAAGTTTACGAGGGCTTGGTGGGATATGGGTGTAAAGCTAATGCCGCAACTTTTAGAACTTTGATTTTTCATTTGTGTAAGAGTCAGGAATATGAGAAAGGATATAAGATATTTAAGGAGAGTGCGAGGGTGCAAAGGATTCCGGATTTCAATACATTGAAATATTTGGTGGAGGGGTTGGTGGAGAAGAAGAAGATCAAGGAAGCAAAAGGGTTGATTCGCACGGTGAAGAAAAAGGTCCCTCCTAATTTATTCAATGCATGGAAGAAGGTCGAGGAAAATCTCTGTTTGCGTTCTAATGAAGAGGAGAAGGAAGTTAAAGAGGCCACAGCTTAAGGATTAATGGGATGTGTGTTTCGAGTAGTTTCAGTTGATAAATTCAGCTACAAGCGAATCAGATTTGTTACATTGCAACAGTAAGTAGCTTTTCTAGTTTTATTCCTTTTACTCTTTACATTAAGTAGCTGGTTTGGGAGTTGCAATGAAATTTTGAGCTTCATTTTGTTTCAATTAGCTTTCAACTTCTTGCTTAATCCATTATGTATAGTTGTTGCTGTTTTCGGCATTTTTTTCTACCATCCATATAGTGCATGCCATATAGTGTATGAGGTCCTTGAATGTGTTGACTAGCCGAAAATATGACTGCTTAACCTGGCAAGTGCCATGCTTGAATGGAAGGTCTGAATCCACATTTTGCATATAAACTTGGGGGCATTGGTCATTGCATTGTTGTTCTGCAGGACGCCCCAAAACTTTTTTTGAGATGATTTTTTTTTTCGATTTTGGATCTGGATTATAAATTATTTAGTTGGTTTAGTTAATGAAATGAACATTAGAAATACCACCCTTTCAATCTTTCTTAAACACACACACTCTCTCTGTTTATAGCTTTTCTGCCCATAATTTTGTAAAATTTGGCTGCTTTAATATGTTGATTGATGGAAAAGGGAGTAAACAGGTTTCTTTCTTATGATTATTATTTAATGTTTCTTCCCATAAGACGAAACGAAACGTCTCTAGTGAAGTAGTAATGCAGGAAATTATGGGATGGAAATAAGAGGAAAAAAAAGAAGTGAAATTGAACTTTGTCATTAAATAAATTTGGTTTAATGTTTCAGAAAATCACAAAGGTTATATTTTTTTTAATGATTTTAGTTCGTTTTTTTACTTTTGGATAGAAAGGTCATTAACTAAGCATTTGATAACAATACTAGTACAGATTTGATGTTCTTGCCTAAATTCCAATCTAAACCGACATGACATGTGATGAAATATGACAGTTAGACTAAATATGTCACGTAGGATTTACGTAAGCAATTAAGTGGAAAATCAATTATCAATTACAAAGTTTAAAAGATATGTAATCTAATAAAATCCCCATTCAAAAGAAATCTAACTTCATTTCCTTTTTCTTCGTTTTCTCTTCATATATATATATATATATATATTTTTTTTTTTTCACTTTAATAACCAATCAAAAGAAATTGAACTTCGGCCTTGCTTTCCTTTCATTTCCATGTGTACACACACTAATTAGTGTCTCTGCGTGAGACATTGCAATCCTTGTCTTTTTCACAGGAAGGGGAATACACTCTCTTTTTTTCTTTTTGGCGTTTTTAAGAGTCCATGGGATAATTGAAAGGAATCCAAGCCAGGCTTAAAAATAGATAACCTGTTTAGATATCTTTTTATATGATCGAGATTACCTATGCCCAAGTCGAATATCAATTTTTTGATGTGATTAAAATTAGACAAACCAGAGCCCATCAAAGCTAAACAGATCATAATCGAATCACATTAAAACACGCTCAAATCAATCCTCAATCCAAGTTCATTATTATATAATTTCTTGAATAAAAAGGTCAATATTTTTCGTTATGTCAGATTAATTAATTACAATAGCCCACCATTAATCACCAAAGCATTATAACTTGGAGGTTTGTTAAACCCTTCAGCAGAGAGCAGCAGAGTCTGATGCATAGATGATAAATGAGGATTATGCAACGTCCAACCAATAAATTATTAGATAGTGATAAAGCAAGTTGGTTCTCTATCGAATTTTCTATTAATATATAGAATATGAATTTTAGAATTATTTTTATCGTCAATGTGTATTTTTATCTTCAATGTGGGATGAGAGCTTGATTGAAAGTCAGATCTTGCCCGACCTTGACCCACAAGGATACCTGAATAAAACCAAAATAAGATGATGCTAGACCCATAGGCATGCTCATGTGCCAGGAGAACCTAATGTATGCCTTTTTATTTATGCTTCAGGTGCAAAATGTTTAAGCAAGGTGGTAATCCTCCAAAAAAAAAAAAAAGAGTGGACAATCCTCCATTCCTGCAAACAAGAAGAATCCAACATGGAAATGTACTGAAGATTTCCCATGATTTGCAAAGCTAAAGAAAAGAAACATGCGAAAGCACATTTATGCAACCTCACGCAAAGTCAAAGAGTATAATAGCATTTTTTTTTAGTTCGTAATTAACTTTACCTATCATCTTACCATATGACATTTACTCACCAAAAGAGTTGCAAGCTGAAAATCTATAAATCACGGGAAAGAAAATCAACACCATTGCAGAAACTTATTCAGATCAGTTAAGCTTCAAATTGGCTTCGAGTTTGGATTTATACTGCTTATCTTTGTGTATTAATACGGACTCTAGTTGTCTGAAAGGAACAAATACATAGTAAGGAAATCAAGGCAAGGACAAATTTGAAGGTTCAAAATGAATTGCATGCTGTGGCTACAGGTTTTATACATATTAAGACCCTGTACAATTTGAATTTTTTTATTGAGATGCTAAATTTTTTTCTCGTTCAATTTAAGAATTCTACTCTTATATTGTTGTTGTTTCGGACCTTAACGAATGACAACTTACCACGTGTGCACTCTAATGAATGATAACTTGCCATGTCACTAATTTAATCCCCTCATTTAAACACACTATGACACTTCACAAGTCGTGATTGGTTAGAGCTTGTCACGGGCACTTACGTAACACATTAGGGTTTGAAACAACAATATAAAATTAGAATTATTAAATTGGATTAAAAAAAAAAATTAGTATCTCAATAAAAAAATTCAAATTATACAAAGTCTTAACATGTGCAAAACCCATTTTCCCTAGACTCCATGATATAGCATCGGGGACAACATGAACATGAGACTGGCAAATGCAGTAGACCTGTCGATACATTTGCATACTTGGACAAAAAATATTATGTTAATTATATCATATTTTAAATAATTTTTTTAATATGGAATAAATAATGTTTTATTGAAGGTGCCCTCCACTTGTCAAAGTTAATAAATGTAGGGTTGGTGTTAATATATATTTTTTTAATACTAGTTATTTTCCGTAAATTGCAGGAAAATTTCATAATTCCTCTTTAAAAAAAACAATATAGTATATTATCAATATTAAAAAAAAAACCACATTAATGTCACAAATAAAAAAAATAAAAATAAAAATAAAGTCGTAGAGAAAAGAAGAAGAGAAAGGAAAACAAAATATTTAGTTAATCCCTGGGCCTTGTATATAAAACAAATAATCAATTTGGGCCTCAGCTCTTATCTATACAATAAAAAGGTTGGGCCTTCACGGTCCAATTGATAAATTTAGTTAGCCCAATTGTTACTCCTGTCTTGGTCGAGTCACCATCTCCAAATTTCACAGAAAGGGGTTAGGGTTTTAGAGCAAAACAAAAGAATGACGACTCGAATAGCTCCAGGTGTTGGAGCTAATTTACTTGGCCAACACTCGGCCGAGAGAAATCAAGATGCCACTGCATACGTTGGAAATCTCGACCCTCAAGTCTCCGAGGAATTGCTTTGGGAATTATTCGTTCAAGCCGGTCCTGTTGGTAAGTAATAACCTTTTAATCTTACTTTGGAAATTGGTGTTTTATTTCTAACACTTTTCTGTTCGTTTGTTGTTTCAGTTAATGTTTATGTTCCTAAAGATAGAGTAACAAATCTTCACCAAGGATATGGATTCGTAGAGTTTCGGAGTGAAGAAGATGCTGATTATGTAAGTGGGTTTTGAATTTCACTCACAGTTAATTGTTTTTTAGAACTAAATAGCTCAAAAGTGGGATTTATGATTTACTTTTTGAAATTTGACCATGCAGGCAATTAAGGTTTTGAATATGATTAAGCTTTATGGGAAACCAATTCGTGTAAATAAGGTATGGGAGTGTAGTGATTTCATGTGCTGTTTTGTTAATAACATGATTATGTAGTTTCAAGATTATTTATTGGTTATATTGGGTTAATTTTAATACATGTTTGGTTTTAGGCGTCACAAGATAAAAAGAGCTTGGATGTGGGAGCGAATCTCTTTATTGGAAATCTTGACCCTGTGAGTTGTTTAACTCTTTCAAAAGATGTTTATGTGAATATAAAGTTTTTTTTTTTTTTTCCTCTTTTGATTTGCAGCTAAAAACTGTATATATATATTTTTTTGCAGGATGTTGATGAGAAACTTCTGCATGATACTTTCAGTGCATTTGGAGTAATTGTTACAAATCCCAAGGTGATTATTAGTTTTTGTTGTCATTTTTCAGTTTTGACGTCCATGAGTCTTGGAAAACGAGGAAAGAATAAAAATAAATCAAATTATGATTTAGAAACTTGTAGGAGTTGAGCAAATTGTTATTCGATCGATGCTTTTTTCTTTCATTCTTTTAATAGGTTACTCATGTCTATGTGCTTTCATGAAGTTTGCAATGGTCACTTAGTCAATGTTGTTGAACTTGTATGTGAACCTTAAGTCTAGAATTTGCTCATGAGATGCAAATACAGAGGAGTTTAGGATGCTATCAAAGAACCGAAAACCCCAACAAATAGAGGGTATCATTTGCAGTGAAATCAAATCAAGTTCTATTCTTTTAGTATAGAAGTTTTTGCATGGTTGATGCAGTGCAAAGTGTCACAGGTGAAGTCGAACGCTCTGCAAAGCTTTTCCAGAAGCTTTCTATTCTAATTCTAATTCTAATATAACAATGGGACTCTCTGTTTATAGTGGCTTCTTTTGTGCCATTGGAACTTGTACATATTGTAGTAGTGTACTTAGAACTAGGTAGGTTACCCTAAAGCACAGAATGGGCCTGAGCTCTGAGTAAGAGCTTTGGACCATCAGTCGAGCATGGTTGATGCTGCTGATCAATGTAGTCGCAGGTTAAGACACTAGCGTTGGCTATGCTTGCTGATTATAGACTGTTACCTGAGCAGTTATTGTAACTAGCTAAATCAAAGTCAATGTTATTACTGGAATTATCGTACATTAGATAAATAAAGGGCAGTAATTAGTCTGATTTGTATTAAGCAAGAGAAGAAATCTGAAGAAAAAAAGGTGTTCTTGATTGCTGAAATGGGCTGACTATTCCACGTTATCCAAATGCATAATATGCATCTCAGTATATTTTAGGCATAATTTTTTTGCCTGTCAATCATAGGTTTAATGGCATAATTTACCTCAAACTATTAGGATTGTTGCAAAATAAAGCTTATATTATCAATTGGATTATTAGACTTTAAATTATTAATTTTTAGCAAATTTTATCATTTTTCATTATGTCTGACGATTAAAGTATTTACCATTGAAAGCATTTCAGGTTTTTTTTTTTTAAGAATTAAAATTAACTTTTTTTTAAAAAAAATAATTCATTTTTTTCATTAGATGGATGCATTACACATCATTAATTATCCAATAACATAAGTCAGATCTACGAACAACAAAATTATTTAAGCTTCTTTAAAGTTAACTATTATTAAATATTTTTTTTGAACTTAATTTTAATTCTCAAAATAATAATAATAATAATAATTTAGTTTTTTTTTATTAGATTGATTCATTACACTTAGTTAGTTATCGAACAACAAAAGTCTGATCTTTAAACAACAAAATCATCTAAGCTTCCTTAAAGCTAACTATTGTTAAACATTTTTTTTCAAAATTAATTTTAATTCTAAAAAAAAAAAAAAATCTGAAATGCTTAAAATGACGTTGACCGTCAGACAACATAGAAAAAGATTAGATTTGCCCAAAAATTAATAGTTTGAGGTCCAAAGAGTTCAAATTGGTAGTATAAGTCTTATTTTGCCACAACTCCAATAGTTTGGGGATAAATTATGCCATTAAACTGTCAATCATAGGAAGTATAGATCTTTTTTCCACTGTTTTTAATATATCATTTTTCACAACTGGAACGCATGTGGTAGAATGTACTGTTGTGTTTTAATGGACATCTATGACAACTTACCTGTTTTAATTTTGGCATGAAATTTTGCTTGTCAATCCTGGAAAGTGTTGAATTTTTTTTTCTGAAAGATTATCTTTATACATCATTTTCCACACTGGTATGCGTATAATAGAATGCTTGTGGTGTAATGGATATTATTGCCTATTTGTAATTGTTGTAGTTTCTTTTATTGTATCCTGATGTTTGGCGTTGATATTTTCAGATAATGAGAGATCCAGAGACTGGAAATTCCCGTGGTTTTGGTTTCATCAGTTATGATTCATTTGAAGCATCTGATGCAGCTATTGAGGTAACTCTTTGCAGTCACATTCTACAAACGTTTGAGAAACAATCATTTTCAGTAGTTAGAGATATGCACAGTTGTTGGTTATCTTTTTAGGTATTTTGGACTCTTGGAAGTAATTTTACTTTTTAGCAAAAGGATGCAAAACCGTAGATAATTGTATAAAAGCTTACTCTGTTTGGTAAATGCTGGATGAAAAGGCAACTACTCAGTAGGAATTAATACACTGCTTATTATTAGATCTTAAGATTTCATGAGCACTCTGGCTGGATTTTGTCTTATATTGATCGAACAGAGTTGACCAGATAATAGTATTTTGGACTTTAACAGGCAATGAATGGTCAGTATCTTTGCAACCGTCAGATAACAGTCTCATATGCATACAAGAAAGACACTAAAGGGGAGCGTCATGGGACTCCGGCAGGTGAGGCTTTTTGTCATTGAAATGCTGTTTTAAATATTCTTTACGATTTCTTCTGTTGCCACTTAGTACGAGCCTGTGAGGGTCCTCTTGAAATTAACCATATGAGTGCAAGTCTTTGTATTTCAATTGAAATAGGGAAGTTTCGATTAATGGTGTCTCTTACAGAGAAGCCTGTGGCTGAGTCTGTTCATAATAGAAGTGATTTAATTGCTACTGTTATTGATGCAGAGAGAGTTTTGGCTGCAAGCAATCCAACTACCCACAAGAGCAGGCCCCACACTCTGTTTGCCAGTGGACCTCCGACACTTCCCTCTCAGGCCAATGGTGCTGTAGTTGCACCTGTGCCTCCACGTCCCTTTGCAAATGGCGTTGTTGCTCCAGGACCAGTTCCAGCACTGCGCCCACCACCCCCACCAAATGCAGCATTCGCACCAATGCAGATCACTGGTCAACCAGCTTGGCAGGGTCAGCCATCACAACAAGGTCAACCAATGCCACCTCCAAACATGCCACCTCCAGTTCAATTCAGGCCACCTCCTCCAAACATGCCACAACCTCCTATGCAGGGAGCTCCTATGTTCCCAAGACCTCCCCCACAGCCCATGGCAATGGGAGCCCAACAACAAGTATGGCGACAGCCACCACCACCACAGCAATTTCCTGGGAGGCCCCCCATGCTACAAATGATGATGCAACCTCCGCCTCCACCCAATGCGCTACCACCCCCACCACCCTCGGGTTGAGACTAGAGCAGATGCGTCTATATATAACATCAGCTATTGAGTTGAATGTTTCTTGTATCACTTGTTTCTCATTGTAGGACATTTCCTTAATTAGTACCATAGAGTTGGTAATATAAACTGTCCTTTACAATGTTATAGCCTTCCATTTTGCTTATTGCTCGCACATTTCCCCTTGCATTCATTTGAAGTAACAAATTTCAGCCTGTAAAGTTTCTGGTCAGGTAACAGGGTCAAACGGTAACAAGTCCTGTATAATGAGGTTGTTGATGATCATTAAGATCTATGGTTTGCTTAGTTTAACTAAAGAGTTTTGTCATCATTCGTATTCTAGGACGGAAAAGATGCTTTTACCATTCTATTGGAAGGTTTCTGCAACAATTTCCAATATCTGGATTAAGTTTGCAATCGCTAGTCTCTCACTTATTTTACCAATATGGTATATGTTACGAAACTGGATGTCTTCACGGCTTATCCCTCGACCATGTCTCATTCTCCCGAGCTATCTTGACAAGCTGATAAAAACAAGATGGAAGTAATCTTTTGCAGAGGCAAATAGAAGTGTTTAGTTGATAATTCAATGACTTCATTCAACATCTTAGGGTCTTTATATAGCCTTCACTACAACGGGAAATAGTAACAAAGTGGAACAACCAGATACTACTAAGATAATAAGGAACTGACAATTATTAAAACCTAGTTTTAAGGAAAGCAGCAAATCCTAAGTCTGACCTATTCTAAAGGAATCAATAGGCCATGCAAGTAACAGATGGCTACTGGAGTGGACTAAGTCCGAGGGGAGAAGACACATGGTGGCTTGGTTTGTAACAATTCCCTCTTGCTAAGACGCTCCTTGTCCTCAAAGTTGAAGGAAAATTCATAAACTCTTCAAGGAAAACAGTCTTGCTGACCCAAGTGGCCTCTAACTCCGGGGTGTCCAACCATTGGACCAAAATTTCCTGCTTCTTGCCATGCCCGCGCACTCCAAAATTGCTGCTGGCTCTTTTGTTGGTGCAGCTTTGTCTTCACAAAACTAGGGCAACTATACAGGAACTTGGGATGAGCTATTAACCTTTTGTTTAAGCACTGAAACATGGAATATAGGATGGACTTTGCTGGTAGGAGGCAACTCCAATTTATAGACAACTTGTCCAATTCCAGTCAGAACCTTGAAAGGACCGTAGAAACGAGCAGCAAGCTTCTGCGAAGTCTTGTCAGCAACGGTGGACTGTCTGTAGGGTTGAAGTTTGATATAAACCCAATCTTCCTGTTGAAATCCTCACTCTTCCCACTTTCGATCGTAAACTTGCTTCATTATGTTTTGTGCCCTCCAAAAGTCGAGAATGGAGTTCTTGGAGAAACTTATCTCATTGTAGGAGAGTATCATCCACAGCCCGGACCTTGGTTGTTCCTGGAACATAGGAGAGCAGAGTTGGAGGTAATCGGCCATAGACCATCTCAAAAGGAGCGATCTGAGTGGTGGAGTGTAGACTGGTGTTGTAGCAGTACTTGGCCCAAGCTATCCATTTAGTTCATTCCTTCGGTTTGGAGCTGGTGAAACAGCGAAGATACATCTCGATAGTTCAGTTGACCACTTCGGTTTGTCCATCCGTCTGTGGGTGGAATACCGAACTAAAGTTGAATCTGGTACACTGAAGACTGAAGAGTTCTTTCCAAAAGACACTTGTGAAGGTGGGCTCCCTATCACAAACAGTGGACTGTGGCATGTCATGAAGTTTGAAAACATTATCAAAAAACACTCGAGCAATTTTAGGAGCCGTGCATGGATGAGAGATGGGAATGAAGTGCAAGTACTTGGAAAGTCGGTCAACCACCACAAAAAGGGTACTTTTACCTTGTGAAGGTGGAAGACCATCGACGAAGTCCATCGAGATGTCGATCCAAACTTGGGAGGGAACTGGAAGAGGTTGAAGTAACCTTGCTAGTTTCTGCAATTCACCTTGTGGCGTTGACAAATGTCACACTCGTATGAATCGACGGAGATCATCTTTCATTTTCTTCCAGTAAAAAGACTCCTTAAGTCGGTGTAGAGTCTTGTAATAGCCCTCATGGCTGTTACCATGGATTCCTTGCAATAATACTGGAATAAGAGCAGTCTCTTGAGGAAGTTAAATTCTCCCTTTAAAAAAAACGTATTCCCTGCTTCACCTCTCAAGGTCCCTCGGATTCTCCATGCTATACTAGCTGTTGCAACAGTTAAAGCTCCTGATGGATGCTATTTTCTGTAAGAATGGGCTCTAGCCGTTGGGATACCGGTGTTGATAAAGCATTCAAAGTAACCTGTCTTTTCCTGGAAAGAGCATCAGCTGCTGCATTTATATAGCCATATTTATACTCAATTCCAAAGTCATAACCAAGCAGTTTAATTAGCCACTGTTGCTGAGTTTCGATGGTAATCCGTTGTCCCCACAAAAATCTTTAAGCTTCGTTGATCTGTTCAGATGGTGAAGCGTCTCCCCATTAGATAAGGTCGCCATTTTTGCACTTTAGGAACCAAAGCCATCAACTCCTTCTCATAGGTAGAAAGAGAGAAATTTTTACCTTTGAGACTTGTGTTGAAATAAGCCATTAGCTGCTGGTTTTGCATCAGAACAGCCCCAATTCCACCCCCTAAGACATCACATTCAATCACAAATGGCTTGGAAAAGTGTGGTAGTGTCAGTACTGGTGCTTGAGTCATGGCCTTCTTGAGTTGATGAAAAGCACACTCTGCTTCTTGGTTCCAAGAGAAAGAATTTTTCTTTAACAGGTTGGTCAGTGGCCTTGCAATCTCCCCATACCCAGCTACAAATCTTCGATAGTAACTTGTTAAAACCAGAAAGCCTCGTAGCTCCTTAACAGTCCGTGGCGTAGGCCAATTGGTCGTGGTCTCAATTTTCTTCGGGTCAGCTTTAACACTTTGTTCATTAATGATGTGTCCCAAATAGTGAATCTGTTTTTTTCCCAAACGAACATTTCTCTTTTTTCACAACCAGCTTATGATATTTCAGAATAGAAAAAACAATCTTGACATGATGTAAATGCTCATCCTAACTCTTGCTATAAATCAGAATATCATAAAAAAAATTAAAACAAATTTCTTCAAATACTGTTGAAAAATATCATTCATAAAAGCTTGAAAAGTAAAGGGAGCATTTGAAAGTCCAAATGGCATTGCTAGGAATTCGTAGTGGCCAAGTGGGTGCCAAAAGCAATTTTAGCAATGTCTATATGATGCATCCGTATCTGAGGATACTACGACCGAAGGTATACTTTAGTAAACCACATTGCCCTTTTTAGTTCATCCAACAGCTCCTCGATAAGTGGTATGGAAATTTTGTCTTTGATAGTGATCTGATTCAGTGCTCAATAATCTACACAGAACTTAATGAACCATCACTTTTCTTTACCAACAACACAAGAGAGGAAAAAGGGCTCTGACTAGGATGAATAAGCCCCTGAGTGAGCATCTCTGCTACAAGTTTCTCAATCTCTCCTTTCTGAAAGTGAGGATATCTGCCATTCCGCAGGCTCAGTAACGCCTTGGTGTGGGACTAGGGAAATTTGCAGTAAGATACCCCGTCCTTATGTTTTCCTTAATGCTCATTGCATTATCTTTGTCCTCACCAATTGGGGATCAGGAGTTTTGAGCCCCCTTAGAGTCACCTCACTGGACCCTAAGGTAAATTTCATCTCCATGATTTGGAATTTCCACAAAATGGGTTCTAGTGTCTGAAGCCATTGAGCTCCCAAAACCGCATCACAACCCTCCAATGGCAATAATAAAAAATCAATCTGAAATACAAAGTCATTAAGAAGCAGAGGTACCTGCCGACAAAGACCCACACTGTTGAGTTTTTCTCCATTGACAATCATCACTTTCAAAGGGGGTCCTTGTTCAATTTGGAACGTAGCAGCTCGTGCCACCCTTCTCTGTAGGAAATTGTATGTGGACCCTGAATAGATGAGGACTGTGATCCGGTGGCTTGTGATTGTTGCATTGACTTGCATGGTTTGAGGAGTAAGAACTCCAACGAGAGCATGGATGGAGATTTTAGGTGCCTCATGTTCATCGATGGGCAGTTCTTCGAAGGAAAAATCTAAGGTTGTCTCGAGTCCCATCTCTAGCTCAATGAAGAAGAGCTTCTTACAAGCATGGTCCACCGTGTAAGGCTTATCACAGTGGAAGCACAACCCCTGTCAGCGTCGCTGTTGAAGCTCTATGGGCATGAAACAGCAAACTGTAGTAGCTGCAGCAGAAAGGCTTGATTAGTTAATTGGACCTCCTGGACCATTCCACATGGGAATCTCCTTGCATGTGGGCTCACTATTCCTGGGCTCAAAAGGTTTCAGGCCATGACTGGTCCAGACTGTGAGTCTTAAACCCTGTGTAATCTGCTTTCAAAAACTCGAGCCAACCGAATAGCTTCATTTAGAGTAAGGGGCGTTGGGCCTAAACATCAGCCCTTAATTGCTCTTTTAGCCCACTAATAAAGACTCTAACCTCCTCTTCATCAGTTAGAGCTCTAGCCCTAACAAGCAACCTGTCAAAATGGTTTTGATACTCCCTCACTGTATTAGTCTGTTTAAGTTTGCACAAATCAGCCAAGGAATTTTTCAAAAAAAGACATACCAAATCATTTCATAAGCCCTCTTTCAATTCATGCCATGTAAGCAATGGGTATAAATTCTTTTGGCATTGAGTCTACAATTGGACATTTCTTTCGAGATGATAAGTAAACAAGCGCATCTATTCTTCTGAAATAGTGCTCTGAAAGTCAAAAAATTATTGCGCTCGATTAATCCAGAGTGTGAGGCCTTCGATACAGTTATAGCGAGGGAAGTCCATTTTACCAATTTGGGGGCCAAATTCCCATTGGTCCCATCACCATTGGTATGCCTCCATATCAGACTTGGCTGATTGATGGAGGATTCCTCTCTGGCTTAAAATGCCTGGAACATTTCTATCATCTGCCTACTCAGACTCTTAAGTTGATGCTCAAGTTAGAGGAAACGTTGGTCGTTGGTTTCGTCTACCATGCCACACTCTGATACCACAATATTACAAAACTGGATGTTCTCATGGCCTATCCCTCGACCACGTCTCGTTCTCCCATAAGCTATCTTGACAAGCTGACAAAACAAGATGGAAGTAGTCTTTTGCAGAAGCTAATTGAAGTGTTTAGCTGATAATTCAATGCCTTTATTCAACATCTTAGGGCCTTCATATAGCCTTCACTACAACGGGAAAAAGCAACAAAAGGGGAGCAACTAGATACTATTCATATAATAAGGAATTAACAATTATTAAGACCTAGTTTTAAGGAAAGCAGCAAATCCTAAGTCTGACCATGGTGAAAGATGGCTACTGGAGTGGACTAAGTCCAAGGGGAAAAGACACATGTTGGCCTGGTTTGTAACATTATATGCCAATTATAGAGTTTAGCATTGTTGAGACTTGAGGGGAAAACTATAGTGGTCAGGGTACTTGAAGAAGGCTTTGTACTGTCCACAAATTTTGTATGTCATCGTCAGTGCTTAGGATAAGCAAGTGGGATGTGTTCTTTATTGTTCTCAACTCGTCTTTCTCCCAAAAATTAGGGGAAACGAATAATATATGTTCAGGAATTCTTGCTTCAATGACATTCGGGATGTTTGGTCATCTAATCTTTGCAAAGGTAATGTTAGGTGCGTTTCCTTCTCTGAATGGAAAGATGGGATGGGAACCATTTTCCACTTCACAATCCAGGACCAAATTCATTTTGCATATATAGAAAAAATTTATCTTTTTTCAGTTGAATGGGTGCTTTTTAAGGTTAACTCTGGTATTAATGGTAGGTATGCGTATTCAGTCAGGTTTTATCCCTTATCCCCGAAAGGGTTCAAGGTCAGAAGACTTGTAAGCGCATCTACTATTTTCTTTCAGCTTGAATTCGATAACGCCATGTGAATTGCAATAAGCTTGTAAAGTGTATGGCTAATGCCATGTGAGTTGCAATAAGCATGTAAAGTGTATGGCTAATCCAATAACAAAAGTTCTGCAGTACACGTAAACGTACAATTCTGGGGATGATACGTCAGCAGATTGTAAGCATTTGAGACGGCCAAAAATCATGAAACTATACTCTCAATCATAGTTTTACATCGCCGATGATTGAAAAAATGATCACGGTCGTCATCGTGAATCGTAACTTACTATAATACTAAAATAACGATAACAAAATGCTTGAAAACTATTACACAACGGTCGTTATATAACGAAATGGCCGCTATTTAAAACTATGCTCTCAATCCATATTCGTAGTTTGCCTAAATTACTATCTTAAGTACAAACTACACCCTTCTGGTTTACCATCTTTTGCTTTTTGTCAAAAACGAGAAAGACGTACTGCTCAGCTACAAGTTTGATGCCCAACTTGCTAGAGCAGTAAGTGGTAAGCTATGAACTCAGCGAGCTACTGTCCAAGTGGACTTGAAAAGCTGTAACTGTAATAAAAAATATCAAAAGCTAGATCCTGCTCTGAAGCTTGAAATTCCATTAGAGCTGACTTTATCCTTGGTTTACAAATGCTCAAATTAACAACTATGATCTACCGAGCAAAATGTAAAAGTTTAGGCCAATTCTTCGGGATCTGAGAAACACAATTTCTAGGCCAACGGCAATCATATATGGAACTACTAGATAAAATTAGGCTGTAAAACACTTCCTTTTCTCCCACACAGCTTGAACTCAGCATCGAAGCCCTTTTCATTTTTTGTTGGTTATATGCGTCTATTGATGGATGCTGAACTTCGTAGAGCTAACTAGTCTTTTTTACAGGAACTAGTTCTTCTCTGCTTTCTCTTTTGTCCTTCGTGCCACATAAAAAGGCAAACCCTAGTGGAGCTTGCTAAACAGTAACTTTCATCCCCACCACTCATGGGATGTACAAAATAACATGCCAAAACAAAAGGTTTATGATACATATACAAGTGATGTATGTGCTTGCATCTGTCACCATTTTATGTATGTGGCCTGTTTAGATGGAGGGCATCCCATAGAGTGCAGAGAGAAATACATACTGAAAGCTTACCATGACTTTTCTCTTGAAGATGATAGTGACAGAAAAATGTTGCTTTTGTGTCAAATACTTGATAACTCTTAACAATTACGGTAAAAGATTGTCAGCATATAATTACCATGATAAGAGAATAGACTAAACAAAAACGTGGTAGTAGTCTCTTGCAATAAGAGATCTCGGGTTCAAATCTTACTAAATTCTACTAGAAGCTTTAGGTACGTGTGTAAGTGTTAAAAAAAAAAAAAAACGTGGTAGGCATAATATAATGTTTTGTCCACTGTCAAGGGAGATTTCTGCTCGTTGGAGACACTTCATCTAAGGGTTAAGGAATTGCATCAGCATGGATAAGGAAGTAGTCAAAGACATGATAACTCTAACATCACCTAATTTTATTACTGTAGCAAATTGGAACAAGGATAGTTTGAATAGAATTCAATTTCTTCACCAGTCATCTGCTTTTTCCTGGATTGTGCAAATTGAAAGCTATATATGCTGTCAGTGAGGCCGGTGTTCTGTCTTCTTCCTCCCACCGAAGTTGTCAGATATAAGTACACCAATGAACTTACATATCCATCCATAACACAAAATGAAAGCATCGATTTGCGTTCAAAAAGTTTAATGAACGAATTTATTCGAACAGATTGGAAGGAACATCACGACGCTTCTTATTCATCATAAAACATCGTTTCTCTGAATGATAAAAGCTTATTTTTCCTTAACATTCGACAACAAATGTCATTTCCTACATTAAACTCCACCCTTCCACCGAAAGGCCTTGTTTCTTTCGTTAACATAATAAAGACTTTCATTCACTATTAACATTTCCTCGTGTAGTTCCAAGAATCTGCCAGAGCATCATCTCCCTTTATATTATACTTCCCGTAGGGTGCTATCCTATTCCGTTCTGTGATTCTCCATCACTGGAATTCTAGCTAGCGATAGAGACTTGATCAATACGAAGCTAAAACCATCCTGAGAAACAAATGGCAACGCAGACAACTACTATCCAAGAAAGCAAAGGCAATGGAATATGTCATAGAACAATGAACTCGGAGTCAAAGTCTGTTTGGATCCCTGGACCCGTGATCATTGGTGCTGGACCCTCAGGGCTAGCTGTGGCTGCATGCCTTAAAGAAAGAGGTGTCCCCTTTTTGATACTAGAGAAAGAGAGCTGTATTGGGTCTCTGTGGACACTGAAGACATACAATCGTCTGCAGCTTCACCTCCCAAAGGAAATCTGCAAGCTTCCTTACATGCCATTCCCTCCTGAAGTCCCAGCATACCCCACTAAACAACAGTTCATAAGTTACCTGGAGGCTTATGCTAAACATTTCTCAATTGAACCCATGTTTAGACAGGAGGTTCGATCAGCTACATATGATACAAGAATGGGGTTCTGGCGGGTTCAAGCCAATGAGTCTGAGTTTCTATGCCAGCGGCTTATTGTAGCAACTGGAGAGAACGCAGAACCATTGCTGCCTGATATTGAAGGAATCTCAGATTTTAAAGGAAGGTTATTCCATACCAGCAGATACAAGGACGGAGCTGATTTTAAAGGACACAAGGTTTTAGTTGTAGGCTGTGGAAACTCAGGCATGGAGATTAGCTTAGATCTATGCGATAATGGTGCTCAAGTTTCTCTGGCAGTAAGAGATAAGGTAAAATGTTCTAATCCAGGCTCTTTTGCTCCAAATGTGCTTTAGCCTATATGTCCTTCTGTTTCAACTTCGCATCAACCAGGGATAGATAGATAGATAGATAGATAGAAGAATCTTATTGCTGTTTTTGCGGTTTTGTTCATGTACGTACTCTTTTCTGAATTTGATGAAACTCCCAACTTACTACTGTAGAATATATAGACTTCATGCTTCACATATCATTTCTGACATGCTCAAAATCCCCAGTCAGTTTTACCTAAAAATATTGAGAAAATCAACTTCACGTTCTAACAGTAAATTACAAACTGCTCCGTTGATTATTACACATCCAATCATGCCTTATTTTGACGTATAGATAAGTAAAATGTCTTTTATATTGCAGTACCTGTCAGTTTCTTTGCTTTTTCTTGTGAATAACTCATGTAGTTCTAAATTCTTGCAGTTACACATCTTGCCTAGAGAAGTCCTTGGTAGATCAACCTTTTCTCTTTCAATGTGGCTGTTGAAATGGTTCCCGGTAAAATTAGTTGACTGGTTCCTCCTTCTCTGCTCACAATTAATCCTAGGAGACACACATAAAATGGGCATACAAAGACCCAAAATTGGACCACTTGAACAGAAAGAATCTACTGGGAAAACCCCTGTGCTGGATGTTGGAGCTTTCTCTAAAATTAAATCAGGCAAAATCAAGGTTAGTACTCGTTTCACTCTCAGTTCTTGTCTACATAAAATGGGCTTTTTTTTTTATTCACAACCTTCATGAATCTCTTAGGTGGTTTGCGGTGTTCAAAGATTTACAGCCGAAGGTGCAGCTTTTGTGGATGGACATGTAGAGAATTTTGATTCAGTAATTCTAGCAACAGGTTATAGAAGCAATGTAAAATCATGGCTCAAGGTATAGGAGAATTTTGATTACGTAATTTTATCAACCGATAATTTTTCATTTTAGTGTTCTGTCTATGTTTGTTAATCTCTGTGCTTTTCTTTTTGACACCAAAAGGACAACTTCTTCAACGAGAGGGATGGCTATCCAAGAAATCCTTTTCCCAACAACTGGAAAGGCGAGAATGGACTATACAGCGTTGGTTTTACCAGGAGAGGATTGTTGGGTTCATCCATTGATGCACACAGGGTAGCAGAAGATATCGCAAGACAATGGAACACTGAGACTAAAGCATTTTTTTCTTTTAACTCACACATCCAACACTCCTATTAGCAGAAGATATTGCAAGACAATGAAACACTGAGACTAAAGCATTTTTTTTTTTTAACTTACACACCTAACGCTCTAGGACTTGTACCTGACTTGTACCTCTGACTTTTAGTTGTAAGAGACTATTATCACTGAACTTCAAGCTCTTTGTCTGAGACTAAAGCATTTGCGACTTGAGTCATGGTTTATTGATTCAGAGTTTAACGTGCTGTTTATGGTAATATCGACAGCATGTGAAAAAAGTGTTTCAGTGTTGGATTAGTGAAATAACTAGGAATGGTCTAACAAGATAGGATTTCTTCTTTGATTGTTTTCTAGACGAGGCAATGTAGTCGCTAGCCACAAAGAGTTGTTTCTTAAGCTTCCTATTCCTAATATTTGTCATAGCTTTAAATTGTGGACAGTTAAAAATATAATCGTGGTCACTATCGTAGATTACAGCTTGTTATAATACTAAAATAACAACAATGAAATGCTTTGAAACCGTTACATAACGTAAATCACATATAGCTTTGACCCTGCCATATAGATTAAGATTTTTCTTCAATGTAAAGAGAATATCACAAGAATGCACAATGACTATCATAATGTTTATCTCCTTTCATTCTTCTGCTTCCTATCCTGATAGTTATAAGAAAATAATGTCTGAATGAATTAGATGATGATAACAGTTTTTTTCCTCGACTGCAGTTTTTCTTTCCTGTATTCTTCTGAGGTGAAATTCATTGCAACATTATACAATTCTACACCGACAAATTTAATGGCACAAATGCATGCTTTTTTCCCCATGTTAGCAAAAACCATTAATTTCCTGAATTAATAAAAGCAATTACTGTTGAAACCATCGTATTTCTAAACAACAAATAGAGGTTAAAAGGAATTTCCTCAACAGTGCAATCTACTCGTTCTCAATCATCAATTTGGAACCCCACTAGGAATTAGGCCGGTCCGTCCCTCTAACCATAACTAAATGACCTACCCCAGAAAAGATCACCACTACATTCCTGATTCCATGGTCCAGTCTGCAAGTTCTGTCAACAATCGAAAGGTCCACACTTCAGGCTATCATCACTTTTTTATGCTTTTAGTAACAAAATCATATCGATCGTTCATTAAGAAGAAATGAAATGACAAGGAAACTTTATGTTTTTATCAATTCTATTTCCAGAACAATTATTCACTGATCAAAATACTCAAAGGAGATAATACTAATAGAAACTTGAAGCAAAAAGCATAAAGCAGCACAATAAAGGAGAACCATTAGTCAGAGGAAAAAAAGAGATTGATTACAATAACAAAATTAGAGTAACATTACCAAGGATCTAATGGCCGACGGAAAGGAATTTTGACCATGTAATGCCACAAGTAATGACAAGAGCTATTGCGGTGATTGAACCTACTCTTGCTCGTAGACCATGTCTCCAACCCTAGAAGCAAGTGATCCAAACCTATTGCAGTATAGAGTCTGCGTGTCACACTTATCAATCTTTGATGTAAGAGGTTGAGATATTCCAGACAAAGACATTGCTATTTGTCGAGTCGCTATCTATTAATTCAGAGCACACCTTACGAACTTCCTTTCTAACTCTGGAAAAATCAAGTGAATCTCTAGAAAAATCTACCGTTGGGAGCCACTATGCCAGTCAATAAACGAGACAAAAAACATATGGACAAGATAACTCTGGCACATAGGATAAACAAAGGTGATTTTTGCTGAGTTAGAGCAACTAGGGGTGAGCATAATTCCAATTAATTGAAAAATCGAATCGACCCGAACTGAAGTATGTGTTTCACTTCGGTTTTGAACTTACTTCGGTTCAGTTCGAGTTTTTTAAAAAAAAATTCGACTTTCACCGAAAACCAAATATATTAAAAGTAAAAATTGAAAAAAAAAAAACGCTTGACCACCACTAAATCTCTAACCCTAAAGTTCCTAACTTCCTAACCTAATTCAGTTTTCAGTATGGCAAGATTAGAGATCTATAAAAATTTCATTTCCTACACTTAGTTTGAGATTTAAATTATGATATTGAAGAAGGAAGCACACCTTTTATTAGCCTTGCCCATATACTAAAAAATGAAAACAATTTTAATATTAACCCAGCCCATTCTTAGAATTTACCAATTAAAAAAAATTATTTCGATTAAAACTGAATTTTTACGAAACCGAACCGAAATAATTCAGTTTCATACCGGGTTCAGTTTTGATTTTTTTTATTCGATTAACTAAAAACCAAACCAAATTTATATAAAATCGAACTCGTTTAACTCGTTTGCTCACCCTTAAGAGTAACTGCAGAAAAAAACTTACTTAGGTTATAAAACTTCATCCCTAACTCAAAACCGTACAACTTATTAGACAACTAAAACGTCTTAAAAAGAATATCCAACATATTTTATATGGCAGCAAACAGAAAAACAACCTCTAGTTTTTTAAACCAAGAAGATGTATCTTGTCCATCTTTAAATTTCACCAAGATTATTGATGTTTGTGCTGATCCAAAATTAGATGGAAGCTAAACCATGTCATGAACTTAAGGTGCAAAGCTATCATATTGACAAGCTAAGTAGGGAAGACTCGAGCAATATTCAATGTCATCCAATGAAAAAGGCAATGTATGTGATATGCAATTAGAGAGAGAGAGAGAGAGAGAGAGAGAGAGAGAAGACTTGAGCAATACTCAATATCATCCTATGAAAGAGGCAACATATCAGCTGTAATGCGACAAAAATAACAGTTCCTATAGAATGTCGGGACCAGGGAGCTAAGAAATGCAAGGCAGATGCATAGTTCTATATCTTTATTCTGTAAGTCAAAAAAATGCCACACCATGATTGCTAGGCAGACTGTCAGATTTAAGAGCAACAGATGCCAAGTTCACATTAGGACAACAACTTTATTTTACTAGGAAGAAGATTTAAAGCAGATAATGTAAACTTTAGATAGTTTCTATAACTATCTAATCATTCAAATCTAGGCATCGCCGCCTTAGAGTTGTCGTGATCCAGTTCCATTTTTGATGCATGCAAATCCCAAGTCAAATAACATGTTGACTCTTGAGCAAGAGACCAAAATAATAGTTATCACTTAGTATCTGTCCAAAGCCCCAATATTTAGCTTCTCAATTTACCATGTGTGATCGATAAGATTTTTTCCAACTGTCAGAAATATCAAAGATGATGGACAACGTGGAAACATAGCAGTAAACGCAACTTTTAAATTAAATGGAGCAGGTGGACTTCATATTCAAAAGTATTTCTAACTCAAAATAAAGCCGAGCTGGAGTATACATCAAAGATGGTGCCAAATTCACAAGCTATTATGAATTCTGGAATGCTCAATCATGGTCACCTACATCATGTCTGTGTCAAAACCGAGCATCTACAGCTTGAGAACCATCTAGGAGACTAGGACTATTTGTAGCTTCAGAATGACCTGAGAATAGAAATGGCACGAGGTGCACCAATAGCACCTCATATATCTATAAACTAGATCCATAGAGGACTAAAATAATTCTGACAGTCAATCATTTAGTTCTCTCATTCTGTTGCCATCATATTTTTGTTACCATGTGAAGCCAAATCAGTTTTTCAATTACAGGTCGACACCAAGTTGTATTTGCAACAGAATCTGACACTTAAATCCTTCTCAACCAGAAAGTGTATGGTGAACCTGCCTGATTTCCCCAATCAGTTTGATAACCATAATTATTTAACGAATGGAAATTTTCACTCAAAAAAAGCAATCAAATGCCAGCAAAACATATTGCAGTCAAGAAGATTCGTAACCAATGCAATATATACAGCATGATCATTAGACATAACTTCAGGTTATTGTGAGTGAATGTTCACTTCCAAATCAAAAAAAAAAAAAGAAAAAAAAGAAGAAGCCGATTGCATGTATCAGATATGCAAATGGCTTATTCAAATTGGCGAGTATTAATTATAACTAAGAACCTCATAATATGAGATACAATTGACTAAAAGAAGCTTTGTTTTTCCCTTTAAAACTACTAAACTGATAAAATGATGAGAGATCTGGATGACATTACATCTCAAAGTTCCAAGAATTCTCAGCACTTAATCTTGGTAGTTGTAGTCCTTCCGCCAGATTGAAGCATGCAGAGATCTGGATGACATTAAAAACTGAGAATTAGAACATAACCCAGTTAATCCAAGAAAGTTATCCACTTATGAGTAAATGTGGAAACTTTAAAGAACCGGCACAGATTCCCTTACAGAAAGAAGCAAGCTTGATAAGCTAGCCAGTTCTGGTCTATATTCTCAAGTTGGCCATCTATTTTTTTAACAGCTTCAGGATACTACAGAAGAAATTTACAACGCCAGGAATAAAGGCAGAACAGAGCGACGTAGCCAACCAATCTATATTCTCAAGTTGAGCATCTAAAAAATATCAGTGCCTACAGTAACAAATGCATCCTGAGTTCAGATGCATTAGTCATCTGTACAGCACAAGATTTTCCAGGAAAAGACATTCGATAATTGAATGCAGATTCCAATAACGTGCACCTATGCATGGGCAGTGTAACATGAGTCAGTTGGCATATTATCACCTGACATAATCATCATTCCAGAAAAATTGAATAATCCTCTAGTACTTTTAGCTATCATCCAAGTAGGAAAGTAGGAATTCAAGGACTCAATTAAACATCAAGTAGAACAAACTTTTGCACTGGAGTGGGACAGCTGGAAAACAAATTCAACTATCTAAGCTAAGATGTGGTCAAAATGCTACAATAGCATGATAAATTTAAGGTCCTCAACAACAGTTACAAGAATCTAGTCCCCATCTATTTTTAAGCATTTGTGTTTACTGTTAAGGTTATTCTCATAAATTACCTACTGGATTACATATGTAATTTCATTGCCTGACCTCAAATTAGAGGAAGAACTACACTTCAAAACAAAGAAAGATAGTTTGTCTTTCAGGGTAGAGCAATTTTAAGACAATGTTGTAGGGAAAAGCACCATGCTGAATAACAAATAGATTATGTAGTAACTAGTAAGCTTAGCAAGTATATGAAAAAGCATTTGCGGAGAGTTAATGATGTTGGATGGAAGTGCATCATATTATAAACTTTAACTTCATGGAAGCAAACAGCAGAATAATGTTGATTTCAAGCATTCAAATATGAGTATATGACCATTCATCTTGCCACCAGTTTTGGGGAGTTTCAAATTGCAGATCATGTCCCAATTCCATATGCTTTAGCAATATTGCCGTACATTGTCCTATAATTCCGAAGGTATGAATAGGCTTGTATAATTGCCTCCAACTTAAGTTAAATTTCTTGACAGTCAAAAGCATTTAAGGAATTGCCTAGCCCGTGGGATTAGATGGCTGCACCAAACTTACTGTTTAAAGTCTTAGTGAGACAAATAGTTCTAAATGAGAAGAGCAAACTGAAGTCCAAGAATCAATGAATGCCTTAATATCCATCTCTCCTGGAAATCACAAATAATTCGATATCAGATTGGACACCTGGACATCAGTCAACCTGGTCTGCTAAATAACAGTAAAATGACAAGACAGTGTTCATACTTCCATCAGAAACAGAAATGATACTTTGGTCACATTAATATGACAAACAAGAACCCTTCAATATTAATACTTTCATCAGAAACAGAAATGTTACTTTGGTCCAATGGCAAAATAATACTGTTCTTATTGTTGTTAGCACTCCCAATAGACTCAAGTTTCACAAAAAAATCCTCCATAAAAACAAGATACAATGACAAACGCTCTCTTATGCATATTTTTTAAACATGTATTCCCAAGTATTACTTGTGTACAACTCATACTCATACATCATGTAAAACTATTCTGAAAATAAATAGTTTCAGGCATGTAGAAACAAATGGGACCTTTTCTCTAATATCAATGCATTAATGTATTAGTATTCTCCATCAATGCCCAAGAACATACAAATGGTGCTGATTACTAATGCTGTGAAAACCATGTCAGTAAACTCATGCCCAGTGCAGAAGCTTAGGCTGTCATACAAATTAGAAACGAGGCTACCACTATATCTTTAACAACATGGAATCTATACCAATTTAACTTTATTTTTACCTTATATGCTCCCTTAGACATGGAATCACGCAACCACTCCAATCCCAACTCATTTCTCCAATTCTCATAAGAAACTCTTAACAAATTACCAGTGAAAAACCTCTGCGACGCTGCAATGTTCCAAGAATTCATTCCAAAATCATAGCCTGGCTCAATTGTAGTCCCTCTTCAATGAGCAAAGCAGTACTTCAACTTACAGTTCCCATAATCAAAATCATAATTTGTTGATAACTTATTAGCTGAATTGAGCACTAATGTCCCATCCAACATGGTCCAAGTTTTACCCTCTGCATGCGTATAAGTAAGATTCAATGGTTTGTCTAAAACTTTCACTGTGTTCATGAACTGAAATTGAATATCCTGTACAGCAATTAATGAAAAAACATTAGAATCTAACGTATTGAAACCGAGTTCAAAAAACAACCCCTGTAACTTGAGATGCTTGATTACTAATAGTGGCAGACACAAACCCTGTACTATAATCCTCAAAATTTAATTGTAAAGTGATTTTGTAATTATTATGATAAAAGTGATTAAGTGTTTGAATCCCAAAACTCTGAATTATTGAAATTAATTACTATCAAGTAAAAACAATGCACTTATGATTTTGAAAGTGTCACATTTTTGTTACTTTTTATTCTTTTTATTGTTTTAGACTTCTATCTACACAAAAGAGATAGCCCATTTCTTAATATCTTCAATCTCTGATGTGAGCAGAATTCTATTCCAAATAACAATCAGTTAAATCAACTAGCACTCAGAAATGGCATTATTAAGTGGGTTTGCTCCTTATATTATAGTATCTGGTACAGATTGGAGGAAGGAAAAATGCGAAAAAGAATTTTTTTTTTTTTTTTAATGAATAAACTAGTCCTGGTGCGGATAGTCTACCTAATAACAGTAAAAATCGAAAATACTCATAAAATTGATATGTTAATTATGATTAATATTCATTTTTTTTCTAAGTTTTGCGTGTGTGAAACAGGATTGTACCTTTCTTGGGACATCATAGTCGACAATGAAGGAACCAGGTTTCTCTACGGAGAGGGAGAGGTCGGTGAAGGTGGGTCCATTGACGAAGGTGACATCAGTGACGGAGGCTTGCAGCATCAAGTCTCCGATGGGCACGGACAGAGTGCCAGAGGTGGCGGTGCCAGCTGCCACTGTCGTATCGTCCTGTGAATGTGCAGTTTAACATGGACTTCAGGGTGAGAGTGAGAGAGGAGGGTTTTAAATAGTTCATGCAGGGAAGGAAAACGAGGGAGAGTAGAGAGAGGGCGAAACGACAGTGATTCTTGTGTTTAGAGTTCTAGGGTACATTTTATATTTGCTAATTTTGGACTAATTAAAATTCTTAAAAAAATGAAAAAAGTAGTTTCCTTGCAAACTTATCAATGGCTTTCTCTATCAAACCTTTGTAGGGAGGAAATTTTGTATGGTACTATGTTCATTATATATATATATGACTCTCATCTCCTCAATGCACATTTCTTTTGCCTTTTTATTTTATTTTATGCATTTTATATTAATACACAATGAAGTATAATTTTTTGTTTCAGAATTTATATATATATGCATATACATATATAAATTCTTTACTTATAACTCTCATTTTCCTTAGCATTAGGTGCTCTCTTTTGTAATTTTTTATTTGAAAATTTATATATACTCATGAGAACTCACTCGATAGTTTAATTCTTTATATTAGAATGGTCTTTTGATATGATATTAAAGTTTTAATAACTTAAAAATTACGAATTCGAATTCATCACTTTCGTTTTCTCTTATTAAAAATAAATAATTAAACACAAAGCGAGTAGTTGGCTTTTGCAAGTTTTAATCACAATTATTCGAAAGAGAAGATATTAGAGAATAATATAAATTATATCCCGAAACTTCCCCAATAACTTAAACTTAGATGAATTCGATCCCATAATATATTTTATATTCTTTGACATGATATTAAAAATTTGATAATTAAATGTTTAAGAGTTTAAATTTCACTACTTCTATTTCGTTTGTAAAATAACTTTAGTTTCGATTGACATTAAAATTGATTAGAGAACACATTTACTATCAAACCAAAATAACAATAAAAGTTTATTCTTTTACCATAACCCATAATCATTGGTATAGGAGAGCATTGTCTAAAAAATGTTTTTTTTTTCTATATATATAATGCTCTTCAAGGGAAAGTAAGAGTATGGGTTACTACTACGAATATTAAAAAAAGTAATAAGAATATTTTCATCTCTACTTAAATTTTTTTTCTCTCTTTTGTTGTTTTTTTTATGTTTTTTTTCTCATATAAAGTAAGGGGGTGTTTGATAAACTAATTAAGTAGCTAAAAAAATTAAGTTATACTACTTAATATAAAAATCTTGTTTGATAACTTAAATGATCTCATATTAAAACTTTAAGTTCAGTTAAAATCTATTTAATCGGATAAGTTAAAATTTTTAACTTATCCGATTAAGTCAAACTATCTAAAACATACTCTCTCTCTCTCTCTCTCTCTCTCTCTCTCTCTCTCTCTCTCTCTCTATATATATATATATATATATATATATATATATATCGAATTTATAAATTATAATAATATATTTTGAAAAATAAAATACTCATTTGAAAAGCATAAAAATTATTCATTATATAAATTATAATAATATATTTTTAAAAAATAAAATATCGACGTTATAAAATTTTATTCCAAAATTCATATATTAAAAAATCAAATTTATTAACAAATAAAATTATATCAAAAATTAATTTGATGAAAATTTTAGTAAGAAAAAAATAATTGAAAAAAATAAATTTTAAACAATAAGAATAATATAATCGGATACATATGTTCAAACTAAAATCTTAAAAAATATCATATATATTCTATTATCTTCAAACATGCTTATTATATTCGATACTTAATTTTCACTAAATATCAAACGAACTTGTCGGGAACATATTCAAGTACTTAACAGATTCAAGCACTTCAAATTCAATACTTAATAGATTCGGCATTTAATTTTCAGTTTTATCAAACAACACCTAAGTATTAATAGTTAGTGAAACAATTTGTATGCAATTGTCCCATCATGTTCTAAGACTTGAGATTCAATATCTCTTTATAAACCAAATAATATCAGCAACCACAACAATAAACCTTCAACATATATTTAGCAATATATACCCACTTGTAAACTCCAAACTACTTGAATCTCATGGAAGAATTCGTTCGATGGGTCCTCTGAGTGATGCTTAACCTTTTTAAAAAGGCCTTGTAGTTATGAAATTTGCTTCAAAGTTTTTTTATTTGGACTTTCAAGATTAGCTCATCGAGTAATTAATTAGAAGCCCGTGTTATGAAAACAGAACAAGAATAGGGACTAAAGTGATTATTAGGCCATAAACCTGAAGCCCACCAATCCTTTATATTTATTTGCAGGCCTAATTGTACTTAATATGCAATCAATACCCATTAGCCCTTTGGTATTCCAAAGTCAATATCATTGATTTGAAAATTCTACCAATCAAACAACAATATGAAACAAAATTTTATATTTTTAAGAAAACATGAGAATCTTATCTTAGTAAAGAAAAAGTATTGATATTTTAATTAAAAAAATTCATAATCACTGTGTTGAAGTAATTTTATTTACAAGTATTTAATTGGTTGGGATTTTATAACTAGTATTGCTGAGTTGTACGTAGATCCTAGATTAGTGTAGAATCTTTTATTAAAATGGATACGATGAAACAGCGACAAGAAGCATCAAGCAAGCATGCCACGGATCCTGATATCTTGGTTTCGAAAGATCTAATCTCTCATATATGGTCATGGACACTGTAAAAAGCTGTCCTGTTTAAGAGACAAGTGCACATCCCAGTCAGTTTCTTAAGACTGGTAAAGAATCTCTGATACCGTGTGTTTTCTGGGTTCACTGAATTATCACCACTTCCAGTTAAAACTCATCTCTCTTGGTACGAAACTAATAAACATTTTGGGGATCCTTTGATTGCCGTGCCATTCACGATATCGCAGAACCCTATTCAATATCTATCGTATTTATCACAAGCCAGTAATAGTATTAGGGACATTTACATTTACTCCTGTGTTGAGCCCAGTCACATACAGATCGAGCTAAGTCATGAAGTGACACACAGAGAGAAAGAGAGCGATAGATACAGGCACAGTTCACCATGACCAGTGTTATTTTTAACCTCACGCATGTCATGAGATGAATCTAGCTAGCTATCTGATGATCACAACCACAATGTCGTCTTCTGGTATTTGCAGGCTCATGCAGATTCCACGCCATGTATAGGATGTTGCCATGGTTGGAATTTATGCATGCATATAGTAATGCCTACTAGAAATACAATCGGAATAAAGATCTATATGGAAAATTTTATGCCACCCTATTTATTATAAAATTGTATTTTCTTTTCAAGAAATTGTTGATGGGGTCTTTCATTATTTCTACATCATGCATGTTTAACCTCACATATTTAATTGGGTTTTACGCATATTGATAACCTGTGTAATTTAATTTTTTTTAATTAAAATCCTAGATTTTTTTTAACTAATTTAAGAGTTATACTCTTATATTATTATTATTTTAGATCCTAATCAATGATATTTTATCACGTCATCGATTCAATCATCTAATTAAAGTTTACCATGATATTTAATAAGCTATCATTGGCTAGAACTTATCACGTGTGTTTACGTGATATATTAGGATCCGACATAAAGATAATATAAGAGTAGAACTCTTAAATTGGATAGGAAAAAAATTAAATCTCAATAAAAAAATTTTGAATTATAAAAGTTCTCCATACATGCAAAACTCATACTTAATTATATATACAAGTATTAATCAATGTAGGCATACTTTTATTATTATTTTGGGATGGATGAAACCAACATAAAATAAAGAGTCAAAATGAATCATAAAGTGGCTACAATTAAAGGGGAATCATGCTAACGATGAACATGATGATAGTTCTCAAACAAGTGGAGCGTATGGGCCATGCATGCTTCGATTGGATGAATTCCATGTGCAACCCAACAATAATCAACCGTGCCAGCCGGAGAAGATGGCCATTTCCTTTATACACCATCCATATTCTAACATCATTTCCTGTCTTTAGATATCCCTTTGGTCAATCCAATTTTTGGGTCCTCCCTCCCCCTATTAATCAATTTCAAGGCGATCCACGTGTAATGATTTTTGTACCTCTAACTAATGCCAATTATATATGAAGTGTACTTTAATTAGGTATGCAACTTGACTTGTTTAGATTGAAATTAAAATGGTCCCCGCAGCTGTTCATATATAATGTGATTACTACCACACAAAAACAACATAACTAAATAATAAAAATTAACATAATAAATAAATAAATTTATTATAAATTAAAATAAATAAAAAATATCGAGATTTTTTGTAATTTAATTTTTTTATTAAGATATTAAATTTTTTTCTATTCAATTTAAAAGTTTTATTTTTATATCATTGTTGCTTCGGACCCCGAGCCAATAATAGCTTACCATGTGTGCGCTCTAGCCAATAATAGTTTGTCACGTCACCAATTCAATCATCGAATTTAAATCCATAATGACACGTGACAAGTTATTATTAGCTTATCATATATGCTTGCGTGTCATATTAGGGTTTGAAATAACAATAATATGAGAGTAATTAAAACTCTTAAATTAGATAAAAAAAAACTTAAGATCTCAATTGAAAAAATTCAAATTATACGAAATTTTGATATTTGCAAAACCCTTATTTGTTCAAATAGGTATTTCTAATTTTTTTATGCGTTAGCATTAATATATACATACCAATAAGAAGCTAGCGAGCTAGCAAGTGTAATTCTCCAAGAACACAAAAATTGTGAACATCTGTGGGGAAAAAAAAAGATCAAGGTCTCGATAAAAAAAAAAACGAATTATATGAAATTTTGATATGTGCAAAACCCTTATTTATTCAAATAGGTAATTCTAATTTTTTTTATGGGTCAGCATTAATATATACATAATAATAAGAAGCTAGCTAGCTAGCAAGTGTAATTCTTCAGGAACATGAAAATTCTGAGCATCCGTGAAGAGCATTAACGAGTCTCCAGCTAGCCAGCTAGCCTTGCAAATATTGAGCAAAACACAGCGGCAATCTGCACCTCCTCCTGCCGATTAGATTGATCCTTCCTGGAGCAAGTTTGTCCTTTGTTTTTGTTTTTTACCCATGACACATTTGATTGAGATGACATGAAAATCATTCAAGTATACGAGAAAAATGCAACCGGTACTGTAGGCTATAGCTAGACAGACCACCCTATGATAGCCAGGAGCACGGATTGTATTTTTATGGACCAACTATGCTATAATCCTTCCAGAAATGGATGAGCTGCTCTTTCGCCTCTGCGCCCGTTAACAGGGTAAACATTGCTGGTAATTATGGACACTGACGTGGATGGTATTTATAATATAAAAAGTTATACAGATCTAACACTGTTAATCGATTAAACGATTGAGGATAAAAAAGACAACGTTTCTCGAGGATGAAGCTCTCAAAAGATCTATAATAAAATATTAGATTAGATATATAAATTTATTAAATTTTTTTTATAACCCTAATTATTCATGTTATAAATAAAGATAATATTTTTTATATTTATAATTATAATAAAACCTAATAAAAAATTTTAATATAAACGCAGAGTAGGCTCCTTAGCCGTGTTGTGTAGGCTCCATTGCCGTGTTGTGTTCCGAACAAATGCTGCATGGACGTATAGAGTTTGATCGCAGCTCCCACAGCCTGATTATATTCAGACACTCAATTTCAGATATTCTGACTCTCAATTTAATGAATTTATAGCTCAATTAGCATTATTGTTCCTCTCCATCTGATTTCGTGACAACATATACTCATAGGAGCTACCGTTCCTGTCTCCACTTTTAGATATACTAATAACGTGGTAAAAGACAAAACAAATGAACAACCACCCAAAAAAATAAGAAAAAAAATTCAGTGAGAAAGGGAGGATTAACGCAAGATCGATCTTTCTGATTATAGTACTAATTTTTTATTTTTTATTACTCGTTAATTTACCACTACATTGAGATTAAGAGCTCTAATTATAAAATAAAACAAGAAATTAAACAGCTGAAACCCTATAAGAAATAGATCTTCTTCTGCAAAACAAAGCCTGCCAAATCTCACTAAAAGCTTGAACAATAACCTCATGATGATCCCTTGAATTCAAAGACAAGAAACAATGCAACAATTGCTCCAAATCCTTCTCTTCAAACATTTCCTTCTCTAATATCATCTCCATCATTGACCTCTTGAAATCCTCATATGGGTCCTCTGATTTCTTCACCACCGCAAAGCTCTCTCTTACCTTCCCCTCCACCGTGCACGGTATCAGCCACTGAAACCTCGACAATCTTGCTGGCGACAACGAACCATCGCAGCTATTTCTTGCCTTTCGTCCTCTTCGTGTTGTTCCTTTCTTTCCATTCTTTAAAACGCAGTGTCCTTTAGCCTTCTTACCTCTCCTTTTACGTCTAAACGGAGATTCACGTATTGTTTCTAGCTGGGGATTTAATTCTGAGGAAGAATCAGTGGAGAAGCTCCTTGAAGAAGAGACTAAAGTTTCTGTTTCTTCGTCGTTTACGGCATCTTCGTCGCCGCTAAAAAATAACCCGCTATCAGCTGAGGAAGTGCTGATGCGGATTCTTGATGCCGTTTTCTTCTTTTTGACACGTCGTTTTTTCCTCTCTATGCTTGTCGGAGGGAGAAAAACGTCGGGGTTTTTAGAGTCTTCAGAGGCCGAAGAGTTGTAAATTTTGCGGCGGGGAGTTGAATCGTCGTCGAAGAGTTTGGCCACAACGTGATATTTTTCTTCCCTTTCCCAGTGAAAATTTTCAGTTGGTGGTGAGGATTTGCTGTGGTCGGTGTCAGAGAGGTAATACGTGGAGGGTTTTGATCTAAACCCACAGCCCATTGATGTGAAAGCTGAGGACACGTGGCGCTTGATGGATGAGTAGTGATGGGGCTTCGAAGAAGGTGGTGGCTGTGAATGTTGGGGGAGATGGAGGTTGTTGATGATGATGTTGTGGTTGACCGGAGAGAGTCTAAGAAATGAAGGGACAGGATTTGACGGGAGAGTAGAGGGGTCTTTAGAACGGCAAGATTGAAAGGAGATCACTCGAGAGATTTTGAGCTTGAAACGCTTAGCCATTGTTGTTTTCGGCTTTGGAGCTCAAGTGCTCGTTACGGTATCAAAGCCTTAAAGCTGTTTGTTTGAGGAAGGTGAAGGGTTTATATAGGAAGTGAGATGAATTTTGTTTTTTCTGTTTTCTTTTTCAATGATCTGGAAAAAAGAGGGTGAAAATGAACATAACAATCCTATAGACTAATTATAAAATATTGACCACAATAATTTGGGAAAGTAATTAATTCTTTTTAGGAAAAACAAAGGAAAATACACATACACGTCCCAAGCAATCACTAAACTAATGGAAGAGACATATACTTGTTGGTACGTTTGTTGGTTTTCATTTGATAGAGACATGAAGATAATATTGTTGTTACGAGAAAAGAAAAGAAAAGAAAAAGGATTAAATGGTTAGAAAGAGAAGGTAAGTAGAAATATAAAAAGAGGTGGAGAAATTATAGATGAGTTTCAACTTAACATGAATAAATCATGTGAATCCAGTATAAAAATAATTATAAGAGTTGTTGATATATTCGGGTGACACGTGTCGATGTATATTTATTGAAAAACTTCAAATAGAGTTTTATTTAGGATGAAAGCAAAAGATAGACATGCCCTCATAATTTTCCTAAGCACACGCCCTTTGCAATGTTAGCTCAGACTATCAATCTAGATAATTAAAATGTTTTTTTTTATCTATTAGTGAGACTAAAAATACATACATTTAATGAAGATATATTCTTCATATTATTTTTATCTAATCGATACCAATCATAATGTCATGATGATTGCCAAATAATAATTCATCGTCAATAAAGATATTTATCTCTTAAGTTAATAGTATAAACTATTGACGTTAAGGAAATAGACCTATTTGCTCTATTCTTTATGCAAATTGATCGTACTTTTGCCTATATAAAGGGTTTAAAGGCCAAAGGTTAAGAGTTAAAACTCGTTCTCTCAACCTTTAATATTACTATTTCTCATCTCCTACACCTACATAATTATATTACGACCTATTCGGGCATCTTCTATTTTTATGCATTGACTCGATCGTTGAAGATTCCTCCAACCAACAATGAGGACTTGTTGTATAGGGAATTTGAG